AATATATATATTTAAAACAGGATACAAATCACATCGTCTTGTTTGATAAATAGATCTGGAGACTTCAAAACCTTGCACTTTATGGCCAGTGTGTCTTTTTGTATGATTAGAAGCAAAACAAATAGCCTCTCCCATCTGTTTTTCAGTACGTGAAGCTAGATGGCAGTGTCTAACTTCCTTTAGCCTTTGGAGCTTTTTTTTTGTGCTTGACCTGCTGCAAAATTGTTAAATTTCTTACTGGTTTCACACATATGTGGAGTTAGCAAATCTCTTCTAGCTTGAGTCAAGTCTGTTCAAAAATTGAACATAGCCAGTTTTATCCAGTAAACTTTATTTATATATAAGAACAGTACAAAGTGAGTCCTTGAATTGCAAAATAGGAGTGTTTCATATTTACAATAGGTACACAATAATATATTAGAATAATAACAAAAAAACCTTTCCCCCCCCTTGGAACATTTTTAAATACTTCAGCTTTCTTACATTCCCCTTCCCCTACAACACTTGTAAAAACAACAAAAAACAGACAATTTTTTAAAAAAAATTATAATATAGAACTCCAGTGTGTCAAGTATAAAGAAGGAGAAAGGAAATGAGAAGATATGTAGGGTATTTAGAAGTAGAGAATCAGATAGAGTTCTTGGCAGTTCACTTCTAGAATTGGGGAAATTTATAAGAAACATTTTTCATGTTCCTTTTAATCTTCATTTTCTTAATCTAGTTCCTTATTAGAAAATCCACAAGATTGGGGTTCTGTGTGTTGTTATTTTTTTACTGTATTTTTTTTAAAAAAAGAATAAAATTGCTTATGCTTATTCTAGGTGAAATCCACTAAGCATATATTCTTGAGGCCTCTGTTTATTTTAAAAATACAGTGGATTCCTCCATTGCAGCTTCATTATGGGCAGATCCTACATCATGGGCAAAGTGAATCTAGCAATCATTTTGAAAATAGTCAAAACATTATTTTGGAAATTGTACTAATGTTAATATATTTGGTCATTATCTAAGCAAATCTTAATACCAAGTACTGAGATGTCAGCTTGCTCCATTTTTTCCCAAAGGGTAAATCAAATCATATTTGGGAATAAAAATTTACAGGTATCCCCCAATGTTGTATTATTAATGAATAAATGTTTGGTATTCCTTTCTCTCTCCCACAAATATATTTTCAATTTTAGCCAACAACCAGATTTAACATATTGTTTAAACAGCTAATTTTTGAAATGCTGCTAATATCTCTAGAGAACAATTATCTTGCAACAAGACAAAATAAAAGGTACAGAAAGTTTTAAGTATCCACACTTCTGCTGGTCTGTTGGAAGAATTGCATTTTTAGTGTTTGCTTACCATTGGGCTTCATTGGTGAGGGGGAGAAAATACATAGAAAAAGGCAAAATACAGACAACATAACAGAAAATTTGGTTAAAAAAATCCCCAAACCAACAACAACAGACAAATACAAACACTAAGCACTAACAACATCCAAAATAACTGTGTCTCCTTCCAGTTAAGTAAGCTGATTGATGCTTGATAATATACTGAAAAACAGCATTCAACATTCAGTCTGCCTGGAGCATTTTATTGTTTAAACAAGGGTTGGAACTCAGTGCACTGGTCCTGCCTCCTATCAGTACTGGTGTTGCTGCCACAATTACCAATAACAAGTTTTAAAAAGGAGTTTTGCTCCAGGTTGTTTAATGGGAATAGAAATGGAGTTTGTACTCCCTTTGGGACTCCATTAAAGTAAAAGCACTTTGTTAGGTGCGGATTGAGGGGATGAGGCTATTACACACCACTTTTTAATCCATATGCAGCCTGAAGGAGATTTGGTCTATGTTTTGTGACCTCATAATATTCATCAACATATTCCAGATACTAACATTCTTGCTATCAAGGACTGAATAATATACCCAGGTCTGGTTGTTCCTGAGTTATCTAATTTATTTTGTGTACAATGGGTCTTTCAGATGTCAAATAGCAGATTAAAAAAAAAAACAGAAATGATTTTTAAGATTCTGTGATATATTTGGACCAAAAATTTATTTGGAAATAATGCTCAATGAGCATGGAGTGAAACCCACATTAATCAGTGCCACATTTCCAAATGGTACCACACCTTTCACATATATAGCTCCTTCCCTGGAAATTAAACATTTTCTCTCCTAAAAGAAAATACACTCTAACATTGTTTTGTGAATCTGATTATTCTACCACAACTGAATTGACCTATGTTTAACAGAGCCTTTTCTCTTTAGAAACATCTTTAAATTTAGCTTAAAATTCTTTTATGCATTGTCTACAATGGCAGGTCTTATCTGTATTACACTGGCATGGATTATTATCTCCATGTGAGGTGATTAGCTCACATGGAGAAAAGGTGAGAGGGATGAAATTTGTTGTGTTAAGATATTTGGAGATAATTAGCTAGTTTTGTTGAAATATCTCTTTTAATTTATCATTCAGTTCCCACTGTTGTATTCACTTATGTGGGTAAAACTAATGTGAATTTATCTGTGAAGATGCAGTCGCTATTTAGAAAATCAGTCTGTCTCCTCTCCTTTAACTAGAAGGTAAATATACAACATCTCTCCTTATTCTTACCAGCCTATGGTTTAAATCACAAATGGGATAATGCAAACTGATAGACTCTAGCTATTATGGAGTTCAAATGGTCTTTCATGTTGTTGGTTATTTATTCTTTCGCTGCTGCTGCTGCTGTCACCACCTTTTCCTCTAGGGCTTGGTCCTTGCTCAGTCTTTTCCTTTTTCCCCAGAGCAGATTCAGGTTATTTTTATTTCATTTTGTCTACTGATCTGAATCCTTTTGACAGGTGGATGTAGATAATACTGTAGCCTAAAGAAAGGCCCACTAGGGAAATTATAGCATCTGGTGCTGCTAATGAAAAATGTTCTCATTCTTATGTAATCAGGAGGTTTTCTCAAAGTAGATCTCCAAAGATGTACCTGCACCCCGCAGGTACTGAGAACAAGGAGTTATTTGACCAAACTTCTCTATTACATTTTCTCATGATCATTTTGAATTTAAATTTCTACCTTAACTCTGTTTCTTAGGGGTATATTTTTTGTTCTTTCCATAGTGTTGGAAGAAGATAAGACTTCTTACCTGCTGCAATATTCAAAGACTTCTTCTTATAAGATAAGATTTCAGTTTTGGGGGACTTTTTAATTAAAAAAGAAGGCAAATAAGGCAGATAAAAGTGTACATTATTCATGGTGACATTGTAATTTAGGTCAATCAATTACACTGAGATTCAGTACTGATAATATATATATACATTTTATATATATATCTCGATAATAACATTATGTGTGTGTGTGTGTGTGTGTGTGTGTAGGTCTTTGGTTATTCGGGTTTTCTCCTGCGTCAAATTGGAAGTGTCTTGGCGACGTTTCGACAAAGTCCCATTCGTCATCTTCAGGCTGGTGTTTTCGGCTTCTTGCTTCTAGGAGCAATGTGTGATCATAGCTGTTTCTTCCTTTTAACTGCTAGTGGGGGTATGAACTTATTGGATGGGAGCTTGGCTGTGTTCTGATTGGGTGGAGGTGTGTTCTGATTGGTTAGGGGTTTGGCTGTGCTCTGATTGGAACGTCGCCAAGACACTTCCAATTTGACGCGGGAGAAAACCTGAATAAACAAAGACCTATATACAAACACCTGTGAAAACCTCAGAAAACATATATATATATATATATTCAAAACTTGTGGCTGACAAATTTATAGTGTTCACAGTATGTGATGTCTGCCTGCAAATTGGAGCCAAACGCAGAACAGACTGATTTATATTTGGTAGACCGGGTGCCTCACCCAACAGATAAGATATATATCTATAGACTCTGAGTTTTACTTCTGTTACAAAAAAATCTGATGTCTGTCGAGCATAAGAGAATAAAAAAAATGACCTGTCACATAATGGCTATATAATAGAAAGCAAGATGCTTCTGTGTACTAGCTGCAGATCCAGGCTTTTCACTCTTGTTCTTATTGGCTTTGCACAGCCATGTGATTGGCCATTTTGGGAACCAAATGCTGATTTAGCTTTTAGCTTGATGTATTAGGGATCTTTTGATATTCTTAAAGCATACTTAGCTGGGTTTAAATACTAATAGTTTCTGAAGCAGTGAATACAGTTGTTAATATTCCATCTATTCAGATACTGTATGCTTGTTCAAAAATTGTATAAGTAGCACTGGACTTGCTCTTATGATTAGATATAGTCTTCTCTAAAGTAAACTTTGCTTAGAGATTAACTTTCCAATGAAAACAGTATCCACCAAAACTGCATAAAGCATACTATCAAATCAAAACCCTGGCTCCTTCATTTACCTGAAAACAAATTCAAAACTATTCATCCCTAAGATAGTATGTTGACCAAGGACATGTTCACACTATTTAATTCAGAGGTCCTTGGTGCACTCAGAGTTTGGTTTTTTTCCTTGTTTTCACTGACATGCCCTGTCAGTGTGGTCTTAGGGATTCTTTGATTGGTCTGTTTACTGCTGGCTTGTTTAGCAGATCCTTGTTTGGGTTATTGGGGCTGACTGTTCCCCATCAACAATCATCTCCCAGATGAGCAATCAGCACCCAGATGAGAATAGAATAACTCTAAAGTTTATCAGACCAACAATCAAGTAAACAATCCATCCCCATTGACAGGGCAAGCCACTAGAATAGAAATTGAAAGCAAACCCCACTCCTTGCTAGCACTGATGAGGTTACCTAGTTTGGGTAATGAAACATCTACAAGAAAAGAAAGTTCAGAAAGCACCAAGGACCCCTCATTTCAACCCTGAGTTAAAAATATTCTCCTTTATTGATACACTGCTGAGTTGTTCAGTCTTCACTAAAGGGCCATCAACAGTTTCTAGAACAGTGTTTCTCAACCTTGACAATTTTAAGGCATGTGGACTTCAACTCCCAGAATTCTACAGCCAGCAATTGCTGGCTGTGGAATTCTGGGAGTTGAAGTCCACATGCCTTAAAATTGTCAAGGTTGAGAAACACTGTTCTAGAAGGAATGGATGTCATCTTCTACTCACCTGTAGTCTATCATAAATCTGCTCATGTTTTCCTGCTCTATGTTGGAAATGATGTTTCCAGGCTGGTGCTGATCCAGGTTTCTAGTTTGACTTTTTTTTTTTTTTTTTAGACAAATCCCTGCAGTTCAATTGGCTAGTCCACAGAGGAAGGATTGCTCTCCTCACTTAATTTAATAGCTGTTGCCCCATACCACTCTAATTCTAACTACTCTTGAGAAACATCACAAAAAGTACAGGCAATAGCCTATTGCCTGATATGTGCACTGGCCCAGAGGAAAAGTAGTAAGCTTGGTGTGTGCTGAGTCTTTTTAGAGACAGATTTTTTTCTCCTTTTGTTCAGGGGGAAATTTATTACACAAAATGTTAATTAATCAAAACTGACACCAATTTATTTCTAATTCTTATCACTATACTTATGTCCCTATATTTATCATTCCTATATTTGCTACCTACCTAAGGATTTTTATCTATAATTTTGATGAGTTTCTATTAACTTATTTCCTTCCTTTTCATTTACCAGCTTGAATTGCCTACACTCGTGTAAATGACAGGCTCAGTTAGCTTTATCTTTGGATGATCTCCCAACTGTGAACTGGGAGAAATTTCTGTTTGATTTTGCTGGATAGGGTTTTGGGGATTTTCTGCCAAGAATGGGTGTCTCTGTCCTGAGCTGCTGCAGGGACTTTAACATCTCTCAGTCACTTGCCTGGGAGGTGAAAAAATTGTTATGAACTGCCAGCTGGCTGTTGGCACTTCTGAATTTGGCTTAGCTATAGAGCTCTATTGCTCCACTCAACTTTTAGCTCTTATATATTTCAATCCATTGCTTATTTTTTTAGCCACCTTGTCAGTTGACTGCTGCACTTGGCACCAAGCCAATTTTGTCCGGCTATTTCCTGCTTTCCTCCTCTTTCTTTTTCTGTCATATTTCTTTTCCTCTCTTCCTAACACAGTTCCTGAGAAGACATTCTCTTTTATAGTTGGAGGTTCAGATGTCTTCCAGTTAATTTAGCTGTTTCAAAGCTCTGGAGGGAGAGAAAAAAAAAAGGAAAGAGGGGCTTGTGCTAACCATTGTGAACCCCTCCTTTCATAGTTAAGGAAATCAAAGCAATAATTTAAAAAATCTGCCAAGTTTTGAACTAACATTATACATATCAGGCAAGTGTTATAACCACCATGCTACTGAGATTTCTGTTTTTCAGAAGTTGAGGCTTTTTTTTTTTGCTTGAAGCTGGTTGTGTCTGCATACAGTATATGTACATTTTAATGTTATTTCTTTGTCATATAAATTTAATGTTGTATAGATATATTGTGTATAAACAAACAAATATATATATTTTCAGAAAATTCCACACTTAGGAAGACAATTGCTTTCCTGGAATGGTATGTTTGGAGGGCAAAACATCAGCAGTATTGTCCCAAAGGTGTTTTTTCAAAAGGCAAATGGACTTTGTTTTTCCAAATAAAGAAAAAATCCAGTTGCCTTTTGGAAAAGCACCTTTGGGATCTTTTGGGTGCATGACCTGGATGACTGAGAATCTTCATAGACAATCAGCAGAATTGCCCATAGGGAGGCTGTATAGTATACAACTGAATCCTTTGCAAGCACCGGGAATGTGTCTCAATCTAGATAGAGATATCTCAGCTATTATAAGCACAGGAAAGAAGCTTAGTTTAAACTCAAACACAGTATTTAGAAGTACTTTAGAGAAATAGCTACTGCTGAAAAATGTTTTTTTTTTAAGATGACTTGGAATCTCTACAACTAAAAACAAGGTATTACAGTGTCATTTTTCTTAATTTGTGATGTAAACAATATCAGTAGCATGGAAGGGGAGGATACTTTGATGAAAAAGATCTAGAAGTCATCCTAGATTTTCTGTTAGGAAATCTAATATATTTCATTGTGACAGGGATGCAGTGAGCACTTGCTAGGCCTTCTTACTATATTTTTCCTAAATAAGGCTAAGATTGCCACCATTCTGAATAAGAGGATTTCTAACTACTTTTAAGATATCATCTATAAGGAAGAGAGAAACTGTTTAATTTCCAGCTTATTTTACCACTTCCATTGTTCATTTATTCTGAGTGGATCTACAGCACATTGAGCTGCTTACGCTTTTTGTTCCCTTTTAAATGCAAACTATTAGACTAGAATGCATGCAGGTTAAAAAGACCTGCTGATTGGTCTGGCAGGTGAAGTGGCTATAGAATTTTAATATTGCAACAAAAATTCAGAAGAGGCAGACAGGTCTGCTAACATGATGGAGCTTTATACAATAAAGATCTTCAAAAGGAAATAAACATCAGATTAGCACATCACTGCCTCCTTGCTTTAGCTCTTTGATGGCTCTGGATAGCACTCATCAATGAAAACAAAAATGGAATTATTCAAAAAAGAAGTGTTTAGGCACAAAATCCCAGGAATGTAATCTCTGGCTTTGATGTAAAAACATCTGAACTGTATTAAGCTAGAACTGACACATCAGGGTAAGATAGCAGGATAGGGAATATTACCTAAAACAATCATGGTTCTAAATGTTCAAACCAGTGATGGGATTCAACCAGTTCATACCACTTCAGCAGAACCAGTAGCTAATTTTTTGTTGCCCTGGCCCAAAATAGACTTCCGGAAGTGGCATCCACACAGAGAACCGGTTTTCACATATTTGAATCCCACCACTGGCTCAAGCCTTATTGTTTTCCCCTCAAACAACTAAATTAACCTCATAATATTAGGTAAATGCCTATGGATTTGGCCAGTCTTTACCAACTCTTGAACATGGCCAAAGACATTGGGGATAGTGATGATTCAGGCTGGGAAGACTGAGGTCTTGCAGCAACAGTTTATACTATTTATAGCCATATAAATTGACCATGAAATGAAAGTCATGCATTTAATTCCAAATTTGCTTTAGGATAAGTTGTATCAAACTAGCATGCAAAAACTATTAGATAAAGTATGATTGCCTAGAAAATCTCATCTTAGGAAGAGATGTTACATATCTGCAACGGAAAACTATGATTGTAGAATGCAGTAGTTGCTGTGAAAGGACCTATGCAAATATATTTGAATCAACTCATTTGATTCCTGCCAACTCTGTGAGAATTTTTCCAGTTCTTAACCTCTTTATTATTAGTTTATATGGACCAGCAGGTCCAGCATTGATACTATAGTCTAAATCAGAGTATCTGTAGTAACAATTCATTGGTTTTAGATGATAAATCCTGGTGAGTTATCTGTTTTTCCACTTCTGACTAAAGATGTAAGAAACTACCTTCTAGATACAGCCTTAGTTTGGATTATTGACACCTCAGATGTATAGTTCATCTAACACAGCAGTAAAAACTAATACAAATGCATAAAAGAAGCCCAAAGAGAATTCATTGTGAAATGCTTGAAATTGGGAAAGTGGAAAATCCATTGATAAAAATAAGCTGCTAAATGTACTACCTTTGTCAATTAAATTTAGGACTAAAAGAGACAATTCTTTCTTTGCAATCAAATGCCCTTTCCTGCTAAAGGACATGGAAGTAATATTTCTGAAAATATGCTCTCCTTCTGAGACATTTCCTGCATTTAGCTCCTATTCTCTGCTCTTGCCAAGTCAGTGTAAATCAGATTTTTTTGGCTGCAAATCTTGACTGCTGAGAATGTCAAAGGCTTTGGCTTATTGTACAAGGTCAGTCATTAGTATTTCTTTCAGGCTATTAATAGGACTCAAGGAAACTTATGAAAGTAAATTATCAAGGGGAAAAGGGGGTTTGACACCACTTTAATGAATTATAATTATAACAGTAAGTGGGTCCTTTCGTTTACTCCTTTTTTGGCAGCATTCAGGATAATGATTAGAAGAATGAGAGATTCTCACAAAATATGCAATTCAGTTAAAGTATGTGATATCAAACTCACCTCCTTTGCTTGGTAAGGGAGGGGAATCTAGTGGTGTTCTTTAAAAGACACATCTACATATCACTGGAAAAAAATGGGCTTACTTTGTCAGGAGCAATTTCCTCCTTTCTGATGTGGTGGCTAAGCAGAGCACACTAGTAGATAAAGCCCCTTATAAAAGAATTCCACACAATTAATTAGAAGCTGAGCTATGTTAATAAAGCAATGTATTCAATCATGTTCAGGCTATTTGTCTTTGAAATAGATTTCCATATGTATCACCTTGCTCTCAGCGTAAAGAGCAATAGTATTAGAGACTTCCCATCTACAGATGTCCAGGGAGCAATTGGGGTCAGGATGGGGTCAACTATTCAGCCTCCCTCATGTTAATTGTTCTGGAATCTCCCTCAAGAGTATCATGAATGAAGAGTACGATGATAGCTGACCTTTTCAGGCTAACTCCTGTTTTGGACCAGCATGACAAAGGTCCTGGATGGACATGAAGTGTTGTAGACATGGAACAGTAGCAAAACCTTGAGTTCCCCTGACTTTGGAGATTTCCCTACATTGAACTTCGTACAAAAAAACTAGCTAATGATTATTTCTGAAAACCTCCACTTCCAAAGACCCTTAGGATTTTAGAACTGACATATACTGATAAGTGATAATGTCCTCTAATTCCATTCAAAACAGCTGTAACCATGTTTTTTCTAATACTGAAAATGTGACAAAATTTGGTAGAATCATAATACAATCTAAGGTGTCTGTCCATAGACACACTGAGAAAAGCCATTTTGTTCTCTTCAAGTCTGACTGCACTCATGGGCCCAATATTCTGCCTTCCATTAGTTCTAATCACCTTGCCCTTCTTCTCACCCCTCTTAAATGTAGCCTGCCCAAACATCAATATTCATTACAGACAGAAATGTTTACAGCATCCCACCTGCTATTAGCACTCTTGAAAGGACTTTGGTTTTTTTTTTTAAAAAAAATCTTTTGTAAAAAGCAATGACAACTCACAGACATCATCAGCCTTCTACTGATCTCTTAGAAATGGACTTCTAGGGTCAATTAAAAAACCTAATCTGAATTGAGACACATGGACACAGACAAGACTACAATAATTAGCCAGCATGTAGAATGTGCCATTTCCTTTTGTCCAGAGAGAAGGTGCCCCCATTTCCCTCTCCCAGGAGACATTGGAGTCTTATGCTTGATCTCTGCATGACCTTTCATATGATGTGAGAAAAATGCAAATGCCATTTGTTCTGATTGCATAAGTGAATTCAAAGCAGGAAAGCAATAAATATGTCAATTCACTAGGTCTACACTGTTCAAGTACTGCTTGCTGTAAACACTTTTTTTAAAAGCAAGAAATCACGTAGTGACTAGGAAAAACAAACAACCCAAAAGCTAACTGATCAATCAACACTCTAAGCAACTAAGAAAGCCAATCAGTTTTTATATGAATTGCACCTATAAAAGTGCATAATGCACCAGTTTCATTTTAAACCATCACAACTTCCTTAGCTTCAAAAGGACCAGACATTCCGTAGGAACACAACTGCAGATACATAAAAACAGGAAGGAATCATTTCAATGAGGGAAGTCTTGTGTCAAAGTAGAAGAGGAATGAAGGACTTTCATAAAATCATAGTGTCCCTTCAATGGTAAATAGGGAGCATTAAAAAAATATCAGTACTCTATAAATACATAGTTGAAGCTGATCTCAGCACAGATGAATTGAATGACCAGATGGCTTTTCCACTCACATAGATTCCTGCTAAAATACTCTTGAAGATACTGAATGCTGGGTTTTCCTTTCCAACTGCACTTTTTAAAAGGTTTGGTGCAAATTTGTGCTCCTGGAGATATTTTTTAAGTTCCCAGGCAGAGGAACAATGGAGTTTTTTCAAACATTTCCTAAGGTAGAGAATCTACTTGCAAACCAACCATCTGAGCCATGAACAACGAAGTTCTCGTATGATGTGAGGGGCAATTTACAGTGGAATCTTCAATAAGACGTAGCCACCGTATTTTTGTTACCTTTTTTTCTTCTTTTTTCTTTTTCTTAAAAAAAACTTTAAATATTGTTTTTGTTATCTCTTAATATACACCAAACAATTTTCATGCAAAGCAGCAGTCATGGAGAAGTCTAAGCTTCCAAAGACCTTCAAGGTTACAGCTTGAATAGTTGAACTATTTGATAAATCCAACTGATGTTTGAGATGCACAGTTGCTGTTGTTTTCCTTCATTCTTTCAACTGGAATTTTGTGAGTTTTGAGCTAAGAATCTGGGGTAACTTTTGCTTCTTGTAGGAGGTTCTCACAGTATTCCCCATATATTCTTTGTGGCCACCTTGCCAATTTCCTTAATTCCCCAAAGTCTTTGCAATCACTCCTTATGTTTTTTCCTAGGAGTTCCTGCTCCTTTCTTCAGCTCTCCATAGACATGGCACCAATAAGTTGCTCTACTTTGTACGCCAAGCGCTGCCGGCGCGCTTGCTCATCCTGCTCCAGAGCCCCAATGATCTGGAACCAAAATCAATACAAACAGGAAAGGACAGGAAATAATAAGAATGAATTGGATTTAAGTAGATTAAAAGGAAAAGGAAGCAACAATACATACAAATAAAGGGTCTTAGAAATTCATGACAATTTTTTTGTACATTGATAAGAACACAATGCATAGGAATTATGGTCTGAAATGTTAGCCTTATGGTAAATCTGTGAATGAGAATACCTAGGATCTCTAAATGTTTTCATAAGAAGTTGAAATACACTATAGAACTGTTAGACAACACTCAGTCTTTAGCTCTATTTTCTAGAGAAAATGTAAGAAATGAAAGGAAAGCACAGGATTTCATTGTGTTCACAAATCCCTCCTTATTTTTGAGTTACTGTGTTGGCTTGCACTGCCAGCAAAAAGCGCAATTATATTCTGGAGGCTATATTTCCTCTATTATTTAGCAAATGGCTGCTGCACTATACCAAGTATTTATACATGCACTTAAAAGACAAAAGCCTTGCCTTTAATACCTGTAACTGCAAAATAGGCATTTCTTAGCACTGCAAATTAAAGAGCTGACCAGATGGTGGGGACTTAGACATCAAGTAATGTATCCATCAGAAAAGAATACTGTACTGTACTGTACTGATAGTAATATTACAGTACTGTACTGTACTGTTAGTAATATTTTGTAATATATATATATAGGATTTGGTTGTGCCATGCTAGTTGTGTCTGGGAAAATAGCACATGGTCAAACAACCAGATAATTTTGCAGGCATTCAGAGAATAGTACAAATATTCAATAACAACAACTAAAATAGCTCTACTTTCTGCTTTATCTAAACATTGCCCTAATCACTTCATGATGAAAATTATTACAGCAGATATGATTTTTATATACATGATTTCATGATATCCCTTCTTTTTATATACAAATTTTGGGCAGAGAGCAATGTAGCAAAATTTGGAGAAGTGTAAAAAATGAAATAAATTGAATTTTGGCTTGCATCTTAGTTTGGAACATGTGAATTAAATTAGTTAATTGATTTGGTTTGCATTTTAGTATTTCTTTCCCATCCCTAATCATTAGCAATTTCATTCTATTTGAAAAAGAAACTGGACAATAGCCAAGATAATAATATAATTGGAAATGAAGCAAACATAAGTAAATGTGTCATTTTTGCTTATTAAGCAAAATTTTGCTTATTTTTTTATGAACAATATCAAAAAGATTCAGAAATATATTTTTAGGATAACAGCCTAGGTATTCACATAATAATAATAATGATGTCCATAATAAACCAAAGGTCTCATTTATTGGGAATTCACAATTCAGACAATTCTTCCTCAGGCAGACACATCTGTTATTACTTTTATTTTACTTTTACTAAAGTTCTTTAATATGCTCAGGCTGTGATAAATAAAAACTAATTGTGGTGAACATTGGTCCTTTATATTTTGTTGCATACTTTGTGTTGTGCATTATGTAGCATATCTTTGTGTCATTTTATGGTTACAAATTACTCTGAAAATAAATTGTAATTATTTTTCTATCTGTCTGCATCCCAAATGGCATTATAAGATTCAGCCAGGGACTTCCGGTGGATTTTGCGTGCGTGATGGCGGCTACTTTGTAGCCGTCCTCCTGGGTAAGTGTAAGAACCGCTATGAACAGCAGATATCAGCTGTTCAGCGGTTCAAAATCCCCCTCCCGGGCAAAGGGGGGGGGTAGAGAGTGTCTGAATAGTGGTAGAGCCTCTTTCGCACCCCCCAAGTTTTTTTTTGGGGGGGGTGAAAGGAGTGCTCCCACGGAGTTCAGACTTGTCTCCGCTTCCCAGCTGTTTTTGTCCTCAGGGACAAAACGAGCCGCCGCAAACACCTCCGTGCTTAAAGAGAACTGGTGAGTTTTTTTTTTTTTTAAATGGACAGAGCTGAGTAGAGGATTTAGTTTTTGCTTTCTTTGACTTATTTGGATTTTAAGTTTTAAGATTTGTTTCTATTTTTATTCTCTCTTTTTATTTTTTTTCTTTGTTGAAAGGGAAAGTAAAATGGCGATCGGCAAACTCCTCGGTGTTTTTTTTTCTGGAAGTTAGAATGCTGACCGGCAGGCTTTTTGGTGTTTTTCTTTCTTTCCTTTCCCTTTCTCTTTTTATTTCCTTATGATTGGAATGGTTGTTTTTGGTATCTCTAAGTATTTTTTTTGGAACGGACTTTTTTTATTTAATTATTTTTTTTTTTCCCCTTCTCCCTTTTTTTTCCTTTGAACTCCCTTTTTTTTTTTATTGTAATGACCCTTTTTTGAAGGACTTTTTTTCTGTTTAATTTTTTGTAATTTTTAAGAAGGAGTAAAACTTTTTTTTAATTCTTTTTCTCTTCCTTTTTTTCCCTTTTTTCTTTTTATTATAATGACCTTCTTTGGAGGGAGTTATATTTTTGAAGGAATTTTTATAATTGCTTAAGAAGGACTAAAGGTTTTTCTTTAAGATGGCTCCAAAGCGTCCAGGGATTTCTACAGTTTCTAAATCAACAGTTTCACCCTCTTCTGGGGGTCAGCTAATAACTATGAAGGACTTGCAAGACATGATGGGAGATGTTATAATTCAAATTAGGGCAGAAATGAAAAAGATTTTAGAGGAAAACAATAAGATCTTGAGACAAGATTTTGTTTTGGCTTTAGAAGGTGTTGCTTCTGTTCTTGAAAAGGTGAACTCCCATGTGGAAGAGGTAGCTGAAAAAGTGGACATAATGGAGGGGAAAATTGAAAGTATGGAAAAAGAAATGGAAAATGAGATTCTTATGCTTCAATATGGACAAATGGAATATGCCTTAAGAATTAGAGGCCTGGGAGAGTCTTTGCAAGGAGATCTGAAGGAGATGGTTGCAAAGGACTTTGCATTGATTTTGAATAAAGAAAAAGAGGGAATACTTAATGAAATTGAAAAATTATTTAGGGTTAACTCTGTGGTGGCAGCACAGAAGAATCTGCCAAGAGATGTGGTAATTTACTTTGGTAAAAGATCTTTACGCAATGAAATTGTGCAAGCCTATTATAAGAAGAGATTTCAAATTGCTTCACAAGATGTTATAATTTTTAAAGAGATCCCATCTAAAATTTTAAGAAGAAGAAAGGAGTTTGCTTTTTTAGCAAATGAACTTAAAAAGAGAAAAATTTCATTCAGATGGGATGTTCCGATTGGAATGGTGGTGAATTACCTGGGGACATGTTATAGACTTAATACTGTTTCTCAAGCAAAAGATTTTTATACTTCGGTCCTGGGGGTATGTGCATCGCCATCAATTAAGTTTAAAGCTTTGGAAGAAAAGAATGTAGAATCACAGTTTGAAGAGCCTATATTTATGAAAACTGGAGAATCTTTGTGTGAGAGGCCTCAACAAGTCCAGGTTGAGGAGCAGAAGACAACTTGTGTAGTATATAATCCCAAAGAAAAGCAGCAACAGAAGAAGGTTAAGGAAGTTTCATATTTAGTGGTTTCTGAATCTCTGGGAGATGTTAGACCTACAAAGTCTTTGGAGCAATCTTTAAGGGTGGAATTGTTGCCTGAAATGGAAACTGGGAAATCTCAGTCTGAGGGGCATCAACAAGAGAGGAACGGGCAGAGGATAACTTGTACAACTTACAATTGTAAAGATCAATACAAGGAGGAATTTAAGGAACCCTTATTGGCTTCGGAGTCGATGGGAGATTCAGGAATTTTGGAGCAGTCTCCTAAGGCAGAACTTGCAGCATTTCTTACGAGTTTGATACAAGAATGGAGAAGGGAAATGGAAGAATGGAAGAATGGAGAATGGAAAAAACTGGAATGTGAATAATTAATAATATTAATATAATTGAGATTGATAAGGATGTAGTTTTTTACGGATGGAATTAGTTATTGGTGAAGATTGAAATGTTTAATGTGTTTATTAACTTTGTTGTTTTAAGTTTTGAACCTTTAATGATAATATTGTTTAAATTTGTGTTTTGAAGGGATTATAATTTGCTTATTTTAGTGAGTGGATTCTAATGTTTTAAATTTTAAAAATTTGTGGTTTTGGAGGGAGTTTATATAGAGTGATGATTGTATTTAGATTTGTTTAGGATTTAAAAGTGTTTTTAGTTTTTAAATATTATTATTAATATTTTTAAGACAAAATAATTTGTTTAATTAAATGTGCTTAGATTTGTTTAGGACTTATAGGTTTTTTAAGTTTTTGTTTTTTGTTTTTTTTTTTTTTTTTTCTTCTTTTTGGATAGGAGAGAAGATTATGAAGATTGAAGGAAATATGTACTTACTTTAAGTTCTTTAAGAGTATTTAGCTTTAATGGTATAACAAAGATTTGTATGTTTATTTTTTCGTTTTAGGATAAAGAAAGAGGGAGAAATTAGATTTTATATTATAGATATAGATATTCAAAGAAAGTAATGTTTAAATTTGTGTTTTTGGAGGGAGCTTATATAGAATGATGATTGTATTTAAATTTGTTTAGGTTTTAAAAGTGTTTTAAGTTTTTTTTTTTTTTTTAATTAAGCCTGTACTCAGCTCTGGGAAGTCCAGGGGAGGGTTTGGGAGGTTGGGAAGGGGGGGGGGGTGAGGTAGGGGGGGGTATGGGAAGGGGATTTGTTTTTGTAAAATGTAAAAATTTTCAATAAAAAAAAAAAAAAAAAAAAGATTCAGCCAGATACATTTGAAAAGAAGGGTACTTGCAAAAGTATCTTATGATACTGTGTGCTATATTGGCAGAGTTGCGCTATTCTTAGCCCTAGATAGCAGTTTGAGTCATGCATGGAAATAGCATGGAAGCAGAAACTAGTGCAAAGTTAGTTTGCATTGGAGAGGGGAACATTGACTTGTGTGTTGCATGTAATACTGAATACTTCTTTTGTGGTCTGCAAACCCAGGTAAGCAATTTTCTGCCAGACCTCAATAGTGCAAACAATGGTGACTTAATCTTCCAGCAATTGCTGGTGATAAATTAAGAAAAAGAAATGCATTATTTCTCCAGTTAGTTTAGCACCTAGACAACCTTTGAGTTTGGTTTGAGTTTATTCTGTCCTGCTGTAAGAATGTCTGGTTGTTGTTAGATGCTGTTCCTTGGACTTTGATATAATGTTACTATATTGTTTTATTGTTTTAATCTTGTTACTGGATTATAGAATGTCAGCTGCTTAAAGTTTAATTGTTTATGACAATTATGTAGTGAAGGGTTCAATCAACAAATATGTTTCTCTACTCCCCCCAGCCCCAACTCTTTGAAGAAAGAAGTTTCTCACCTCCTCACTGTATTTGCTGACATAGGAGTATATTTCATTGAGTGCACTCAGCATGTTGAAATCAACATAGTGCAGACGTGACTGTTCTGCGAGGTAGGCATTCATGTCTTGGTCACTGATGGCTGGGAGTTTTGCAATATCTGCATAATACCTGTAAAGTAATGGAGATAGTGTTTCAGAAACAGAACTGACTACTTAAAGCACAAACGTTTGAGAGAAAAAAGAAGCAGCAATCAAGAATGAATTGGGTTGAAGCCACAAGTCATTTTTGCAGGAAAACAGTGTAAAGGTCAAAATGAACAAAGCATCAAGTTGATTTTGTAGGATATGTGATAAACCTTAAAGTGAAAAACATTTTCCTACTATGCTCATTTCACAGTAAATGCACAATAACAGAACTTATTAGTAATGTACAATAGCTTGTACATATGCATTGTTGCATTGTATTTACAATATTGTATAGTGACAATTATTTGTGATACATGAATATCACAAATATAAATAACAATTCCACTTATTAAGTACTTCTGTAATTGGAAGCCCAGTAATAAAGCTAAAAACTATGTCTAGTTAAATGTATAGAAAAAGACTTATGTAAAGAAGGAAAAGATGACAGCTGGAGTTGGCAATGAAAACAACATTTTGTTTATACTTTTCTCTTTGGTATTGTTTTTACCATAACATTCATGTTATTCTATTTTTCAGTAAATATTATCTGGATTCCTTCCAATTAGGGTTCAGATCTGGAAACAGTAATGAGACTGAGTTTGATTGCACTTGATGATAGCAATAGTACTTATATACTGCTCCATAGTGCTTTACAAGATTCTCCGAGAGATTTGCAATGTCAGCATATTGCTCCCAACAGTCTAGGTTCTCATTTTATCTACCCTGGAAGGATGGAAGTCTGAGTCCAGTTCATGCCCAGTCAGGATCGAATTCCAGTGTGGACAGAGTTTAATCTGCAATACTGCATTCTAATCACTGTGCCATTAGGGCTAATGGCATCTGGTTGGATCAGGATGGCAGTGGTTCACCCAGTCTTGCCTTCCTTGATTTCTGTAACTTCTGATATCATCACTAATAGTATAATTCTTCTGGATGAACACAGAAGCTTCATTGTGGTTTTCTTCTTTCCTTTGGGATTGACTCCAGTATTGGCTGGGAAAAGTTTAACTCTAAGCCCCTATTTTCTGGAATTCCACAAAACAGGGACCTGTCTTTCCACTTCTATTTAACATCTACATTATGCCACTGGGTGAGGTGATATGGTGATGGGGCAATCAGATAATATCAGTATGCTAATAATACTCAATTATGCTTCTCCATCCTGGGCTGATCAAATGATGCTGTCAAGGTTCTTTCTCAGTATTTGAAAGCTGTAGGGGTCTGGATGGGGAGTTATATGCTTAGCAAGACTGGACCATCCCTACCACGCAGGGCCTTAATATCTCTAGTTCTAAATTGTTTAGTAGTCTCTCAGATGGTGCCAGTGTTGGGAGATCCTCCTTGGCTCCTGCCCATTTGGAGAACTGGTAGCAGTTGTGGCTAGGATGGTATTGCAGAGGTCCATCTTGTGCACCAATTATACCACTTCTAAACGTGGAGGACCTATTCCTGGTCACTCATACTTTGGGCTGTTCTAGTCTGGATTATTGCAATGGAATCTATGCAGGATTACCTTTAAAGATCATTTAGAAACTACAGCTGGTCAAGAATGACATGCATAGTTATGGGCATGCCTCAGTATGCTGTGAAACATCTCTACTTCCCAAGCTGTACTGGCTCCTACTGTGCCTCTAGATGCAAGTCGAGATGCACCACTATCACCACCTATAAAGCTTTTTACAACACAGGGCTAGGTTGTGCATGTAAACTGCCTGTCTCCAAGCATTGATGCAATCCAGGAAACCTACTTTCTGCAGGCTGACATCTGTCCTATGGAACAGCATCCACTCCAAGGTTCGTATGGTCACCTGCTGGTCTTTCACATGATCTTAGGAACTGGTTCTTCATCTCAGCAGGGGAGCAGGATTTTAGGCAGAATTGTCTTTGGTGACTGTGTGGTTTTTGACTTACCCTGTAAGTTATTGTTCTAGTTGTTTATGTGCGTTTTTAATATGTTAGCTACTCATCACTGTATCACAAGCAGACAGCTAAGGAAATTAATAAAATCTGTTACATGTGACTTCCGGTTCCGGATTGCAGCACTGGCAGTCGTGTGCAGAGAATCGTCTCTTTGCCGGCCGGTTTCCCTTCGCCGGTAGACCCTTAACAGGGTCGAAAGTCACGCCTCTAGAGTGACTACTGATGAGGAGGACTCTCGTTAACCACGGAAGCTCCTTCCGCAGTCCGAGGCAGCTCCTTAGGGCTGATTACTTAGCCGCACCAGCCAAAAATCAGAAGAACATCTAAGCATAAAGAACCACCGTGGAAGATCTGGGTGAGACCCTTTCTTCCCTCTCTTCACCCTAACTATCTCCCTGTGAAAAGCTTTTGGAATTATTTCCCTGCTTTGAGAGAGTGGCATCTATTTACTGGGGAAAAAGAGCTCTGGAAACAAAGAAAAATAATTAATTTTTACTGACTATTTTTATTTTTGGTTACTCTGGGGTCATGAAAAAATTCCTACTATAGAACTTTACTACTTTACTCTTTATTATTCTATATGCTTATTAAGCTGGAGAATATTGGTTTTTTTTTACTTTCCTAACTGGATAAAACTCTATTGGAATCTGGAAAAAAGATTTTACAGCCTACTGGGGACATCTTCTGGCAAAAGCTGACACTGCAATTATATTTCCTCTTTGATTTTGAGGCTGGGTTTGATTTTCAAATTATTATAAAAGGGAAAAGATAAAGGATTTGAAACAGCTGGGTGGTGAAACTGCTTACTAGAAACTGTGGAGGTGGATATTGGCTTACTGTTAGTAAACATAGCCTCCACTAAAAGACTAAAAGATTATTTCACCACTGAAATGGAGGAATTTTACACACAGCTTAACTAGAAGCTTATATTGGAAAAAATCTTGGAGATTACGGAGCAAATGAACTCTAGGATGAATACCAAAGACGATATTCCAGAACTACAAATTGAACTTCAAATTTTAACTGATGAATTTATAGGCCAAGGAATAATAGAGGAGGAACAGATAAACTTCAAAGAGGCCTCTATGCAACAACACACACAATTTAATGAGATGGAGGAACCTCACCCAGAACTTAACTATAAACATATACTGGAAAAATTTTTTGAAGCTACTGAGCATGTGAATTCCAGAATAAAAGTCCTTGCCCCAAAACCTCAAACTGATTTCCAGACTCCAACTGACTACTCCATAAGTCAAAAAAACAATAGAAGAGGAACAAATCAACACAGAAGAGGGCATTACACAATCCTATGTACAACTCATTGAGAACTTCGATGACCAAAGAATGACTTTAATTAAAACACTTGTAATACCAAAAGCAACAGGAAATGATTTGCAAACACGAGGTATTGAAAACTGTGATAACGTGAAGAACCAACTAGTAACCACAACATTAAACAAAACTGATTATACTACTTGGACGATACTGGAAGAAGGAGAAGAGAAGTATGACCAGACTGAATTGTTGATAAATATTCCTAATCAAACACTGAGATTTGATGATATAGAGGCTCTTTTATGGAAACCTGTTTGGCACAAAAAGAAAGCCAGAGTTAGATTAAAAAATGAGACTTAAAATTTTATTTAATGAGTTAAAAAGGCTTTTAGAGATTTTGACTGATTTAATACTAACTGAGATGAATTATTGACTAGATTATAGTTTGGAATTGTAATAAGGAAAAGGTTTTATATAAAGAGTTATTAAGATAAGAAATAGAACATATATGTGAAATATAGTAAGAAGGTATCTTTTGGAACAATATGTTTGTTTTAGGTCTGATAATTGCTTTGATGGGATTTAAATTTTACTTAATGGGTCAAAAAAGCTTTTTAGAGATATGGATTGATTTATAGAATATATATCTGAAATAGAGTAAGAATATATTTTTAGAGTAATATTTTTATTTTAGGTATGATAATCACTTTGCAATGGAAAGAAAACAAGAAAACGGATTGTCATAAAGGAAGACATGGCATTAATAAATGAGTTATTAGAATAAGAAATAGAATATATTTGGGAAATGTAAGAATGTAACTGTTGGAATAATATGTTTATTTTAGACATAACTATTATGTTATGAAACAAGGGAAATTAGGGATACCTGAAGTGTAAATAATATGTTTATTTAAGGCTAAATTGGATTATTAAGTTAGTAAAGCTTAAAAACAGGATTTGGACTTGTATAGGTGAAATGTTATTGATATTTTTTTTGATTGATTGAATTTTATTTAGAAATGTATTAATTTGAATATGTTATATTAATTTGAGGGAAATAGAGAGGGAATCTTTAAAGAATTAACCTGAGCCATATATCTACGATTTTGTTTTTGGATGATTGATTACCCCATCACCACATTGTTTCCCAAGCACTCTGATATAAAAACGAAAAAAAACTAATAAAACTTGTTCAAATAAATAAATAAAATCTGTTACATATGTTGTGCATATAGACATGAACAAAAAGAAGAGCATTAATGGAAACACTATTGGAATTCATGTTGCAGGTATTTTGGAATTTGTAAATGGATCCTTAATACTGACCTTTATGAGTAAGGAAGAAAACACAACTGCCACTCAAAATGCCACCCAGATTCAGAGTGAAATTATACTGAACTCAATATGTGCAAGCTTGGGGAAGCACAAATAAAGAGTCTTGCCATGCAGCACATATCCTCTATTTGAATACTGACCTTTCTACCCAGCTTTTATAGCTGGGTATATCCTTGGCATACAGTAGCTTATTGGAGGGGGAATCCTTGCCCAGCCGATGCTCTGAGGTGGAACATGAATCCATAAAAGTCTGAGCTACAACCGAGAGGCAGGCATCAGTGATACTTCCTTTGTGGATATCAAAGACGAACTGTGGATTTTTAATTACATTCACCCAGAAGCGAAGAGGAAGACTGTATGACATAAATATGCATTATAAATAAAAAATAGCAACTATTTCTACAATCAGAGCTTTTCTTTTTTTCTTTTCACAAAAAGGTTAAATAAGAATGGTAGTAGTAATAGTAGTAGTAATGAGTAATATAGTACTGTACATCCCAGTAATGTAGCACTGTAGCCATAATGGTATTTGGCAACCAAGATGAATTAATCATATTTAGCATTATACTTCAGTCAAGCTGGATATCCTCTTCCTAAACACAGTTAAAATCAAGATAGAGAATTATGATGGAGCTATTGGATTTGAATTCATTGAGTTATTTGGCTTATTTTGGTTGGAGATCTAGCCAAAGAGGGAATTCTTTCTTTTGATTGAGATAATCAATTTTCCCCTTGAAAGTTTTATTGTATTCTTGCTCCCCATTTCTTTTAGTTTTAATGCAGTAATGAGCATCTTCAATGTATATTCATTAAAACTCTCTTCTCATGAATTTATAGTAGTATTCCAACCTAAATATTATCATTAATAATCTTTTTTTCCCTCTTCCTTTTATTCTTAAAATGGAAAACGTTCTTCACTTACAAGGTAATCTATCACTAGATGCCACTGTTTGTCTTTTTTGCCCATAAATACCAATATTATGAACAGAGGGAAGAAAAAAGTCCAAATCTCTATGTAATATAAAATTCACAATAACTAGCAACAGAAAAAGAACCATAATATGGACAATATAACACATTTTTACTTCCATTTTCCACAATTGGGGGGAAAAACCCAACATTATCAAAGATACCAACTCTTTCGAATACAGTGTTGTAAAGGTTGCTTGAAATATGAATAAAAACTAAATAGAATACTATTGATTTTCTCTGTACCCCCCAAAAAAAACAATAAAAAACAGACAAACACTTTAACCTACCCTAATCAACAGAAAGACTCCAAAATATCTTTTTCTTCTTTTGATTTCTCTATTGTTGCTAGTTAAAACTCTGCATCACTGAAGACCTAGGCACCAGGTTATTGAGAAAATGCAATTTTCTGAGGCTCCTGATGCCTTGATTGCTCTTTTTGCAGCATTCTAGGCATGACTTATAGAGGAGATAGTCTAGACCAGTAACAAAATGCAAAAGTGCTAAAATCAATTGCGGGCATTTCCAATTAGACAGTGTTGCAGCTGATGTTAAAAATCTCCACTTTATACTCTGGACAGCAGCTGCAAGTCAGAATATAGGGTCTGGGGCTAAATAAGCAAACTGACTGATTTCATATAAAAAAACCCCTCTCTTTTCCCTCTTTCTGATTTTCTGATAGTTATTAGAGCTTCATGCTACTAATATTAATATATAAAGGAAGACTGAATGAGCAAATTACACCAATGCTTTGTGTTATTTCAAAAACAAAGTGCAATAATCCAATCTTCAATATGCCAGTGTGAAAAAGTAACACCTTCTCCTTAATTAAACTCAGTAACTAATTGAGGTACCTAAAACTGCACAAGCGCTTCCAGAATTGTGATAAATATCTCATATCACAATGATCTGAAGATCACTAATTTGGGGATGCTTTTGTGCCTTAGGACTTGAGTAATTGTCCACCATATCCATACTTGACAGTTGATATGAAATGGTTACTGTTTGCTTATTAACTATCTTGTTAGCTCCAAAGTTTTACTTATCTGCCTATAAAAAAATCCCTACAGAAGTCTAGAATGAGATTCTTTGTTTTTTTGGGGGGGAAGTTTGATATGACCATCAAAGTTTGTAAGGAGCAATGAGTTATTATTTTCCAATGGATCTCTTTCTCTCTCTCTCTCTCTCTCTCTCTCTCTCTCAGCTGAGGTAGCAGAGGCCTGAAAATCTCTTTTTTTAAAATGACTTTAATGAGATGCTTGTCACAGAATAATTCCTTTTGGGGATTATTGTTCCAAATCTTCTTTGTCTCAGGACATTTCTTATCTGTAGCTTAGTAGAGCTTTCAAAATGCTTCGGTGATCTTTTCCAGTTTGATAAGCATACATGACATTTTTACAGAGGTCTTCAGACATTTATTTTAACAGGGCATGATGTATCTCTAGAATCAGCATAATGAAAACATCCCTGTGATGCCTGTGAGATGTCTATAAGGGAAGATCACCTCAGAGTTGGCTGTTTAATAAAGTACTCCCATCACTGGTCCAGTTAGCTCTTTAATTGAATTTACTGAACAAGACCACAATTATTTGTTCACACTGGCATATCATTTATTGGATGTTTTTGTTTATGAAATAAATGATTCAAATACTAAACATACTTCATTATTGCCCATTAAATTCTTTTCATTTACTAACAAACTAGAATATCATTCAATGGCAAAGACTTTTTCACACAGCTGAGTATGGAGGTTCTTATGCTAACTGTCTTCTGCTGATACATCAGCTGCTGGCAGGTAAGAAAATATGAGTATTCAAGGGTAAAGAAGCACAGGAGCCTAATGTTTTCACTAGGGTGTAATTTGAGAGTTGAGGTGTTGTCCGTGTTCAGTTTTTCATCATAAATTGTTCTTGAGAAAAAAAAGGGATATTCCTATTTTTTTTATTTGTAGAATTTATATCCTATATTACTTTGTTATACTTATATCCTGAAAAACTTGAAAAAATACTTTTTTAAAATAGATAGTTTAGACCAGATACATTAGGAGCAAAGAATCAAGACCATCTGTTAAATTGCAGCAAAGAAGATTTATTCATGCCTATACACAAGAATCTAGTCATCTAAAGTCCAACTTTAAACTGGTACCAGATAAGAGTCAACAGAATTCAGGATTGGTTAGACTTGGACCATTTGTGGGAATGTATGACTCTAAGATGATGACATATTTAACTCCACAACTCTGACTGCTCTTCTCCTACATATACAGACTAAACCATATGTTTAGACAAAGGGATTTTGGTTTTGGCTTTCCTTTGTATTGAAATGAGCTGATCCATTGTATGAATGTGAGAGTTAGAAAATCTGTAATAGCATCATACATGTTGACGAAATCTGGCTGATCACTTGACTCCTATGTGGTTTGCTTCATTTAAGACTATTAATTTTGGGCGGGAAATCTTATTATTGTAATACTGACTGCAGATAGAATTCTTTTTAATGTGTGCATGGTCAGATGCCATATTGAAAAAAAATCATAACATTCTTTGAAGAGTTTTCCCATAATCCATCTGGTAGATTAGCATCTGTCCATCTGTACAATATAAGTCTTAGGCTACTCATAGTTATTTTGTTAAGTTTTGGGCATGTTTTTCTTTCCAAACAGCAAAGAATAACTTTTTGAAGAGATGTTAGAAACTGATCTTTTAAAATCAGGCATTGGCAATCAAAATTGAACCACAATTCATCTTTAGGGTAACAAAGTAAACAAGCTGTTTCTTATTGCTGTCTTTCAAGTATATGGCAAGGCATTTAATAAAATAGTAAACTACATTCAAGTCAGTTGAACTGTCGTGTACCCAATGCTGGCTAGATTCTTCGCTGTTCAAACTTAGTGGTTGTGTCCAGCATTTCTTCATTCTGCAGCAGTGTATGAATTCCCAACAAATTGTTACACTTGTTCTCATTCCACATTAGCTCTGCCTGACCTTCAATTGCTAGCAAAACACTTTATTCTCTATGGGACTTTAATCTGTTATTTTTTTGTCCATCCAGTGGCAGTACAGAAAAAAAAATGTTTTGCAGGAAAAAAAGAGAGAATGCAAGCTATTTTTGGAAAGAGTAAATTCTGCTGTATGGGGCAAATGGTTGCCGATAGAAAAAAATGCAGACAGAACATTATTTTTTTCATTCGTCACCTGCCCATGGCTGCTGAAAAGGACAAATGTGCCTACTCTTGCCCCCACTTCACAAAATTGTTTTATATTAACTAGTTTTCCAATCTAGCAAATATAACATTTATCTTTAAGTACTCTGCATGCAGAATGGCCTAGAGATGCTCAGAGTCATAATTTCTCAATCAAATTGGTAATTCATAAATGTAGGAGTTGAATATAAAAGATATGGAATGGCCATATATGGGTTAATGTAACTTTATTATTTAAGTATATATTTTCAATTAATTATAATAATTTCATGTTAACAGAAAAATATGAATCAAAATATAGTATCAGTATTATGGAAACAGATGTATTAATTTCTTAGATTTAAATGCAGGCATTTCCAATTAAAGGACAGTGTACAGTTGTAAATAGTTGACGTTAAGATAACTGAAAATGAGTTATGACTTATCTTAAGTCCAGTATTTCAACAAGATTTAAAATTAATGTACTTGGTTTGGATCCTATTCAAAGCATCTTAGTTTAAATTGCTAACAAAGATTATTGTCCAATTATTTGAACCATAGCGCAACAACTGTTTGACTCTATTTAGTCATTGTTCAAAAGGAAATATTTAAATGCTTGGTTGAAACTAACATCTCTTCTTTTCCAGTCCAGATTATTTGTCAGCTGATATACATAGAAGCTGACAATGGTTGGGAAGTTCTCCATATTAAAGGCCTCTATAATCTGGCAGCCATGGAGATAGAGGAGAAATTTATGCTCGTCAGTACCACTTGTTAACTCTAAATGCCCTTTTATTTAGGATTCCAATATTTTATTTTAAAATGCATTCCGTAAAGCTTCTGCAAAATTGTTTTTAGCTCCTTGCAGCAGAGAATTTAGCTTTGGCAGACCAGATGATTAGAGGGTTTTGAAACCAGAAGGGATTTGCATGTGTAGTTTATACACATAGGCACATATTGCCATTTTTATGAGTTTCTCCTCTATGCACAGTCAATTTCTAACATAGGGAACTATAAATCCTAAAGTAACAGCCAAGATAAAGATGCAAAAGCAACAATTGTTCTAAAAATACAGAATACAAATTGCTGCTTTGAAGTTATACAATACTTAGCTGGAGCTCAAGTTTATGTATAATGTCTTTGCCTGGATATCCTCAGAAAACATTTGGGAAATAGATTATAAATAATCACAGTATATATCGCTATTCAGTTGAAAGCTGATATAAATAGCCACAACTCTATCTGGGCTCTGCTTCTTTAATTATTGGATTTCTGGTAGCACCTTGTAAATTCTACTTTGCTCAAATACTAGAAACAAAGCATTATACAAAAGAAGATATGCCATTTCAATTATTTTTAAGGCTTTGAGGATTTGGAACTACCAAGATCAAGCTAAGGAGAGCTTTTTGACTCATCTAACTGAAAACTGGTTGTCTTTGATGCAAACAATGAAAGCCCTGTGATAATCAGGAGCAATTTTGTTCATCTAGTCTCTTCCTCTTGCACCTCAGAAGGCTTGTAAAAAAGATAGCTTATGAAATTCATAGAAATTTAGCTGAATTCTACTTACATGTGTAAATTATCTAAATGCTGGCTTTTTATAGCTATTCCTGTCCTGTCTAATGCCTCTTTTCACTAATCAAGTAGAACACTGTTTTTTTCTCTTCTCACTTATTCCACTGTTTAGGTAATAAAGATTACATTTATGACTCTGAAAGTACATCATTCGATCACATCTAGATGCGATAACACTTTCACTTAATGGAATAATTAATATATACAGAATAATTAATGAGAAACTGGTATAAATCAATCACAAGTCTGAGTTTGAAAATAAATGGTTATGTAGCAAGGGACTTTGAGTCAAATTATTCTATATTCCTTATTGCAAAATCTTGTGCATTCTCTGAAGCCTTAGATTTATCAATGTCAAGAACAAAGTATTCATGAAGGCCAGGGTCATCAGCTTAAGGGAATAATATGTGTGTCCTATGGAATATACACAGAATCTCAGAACTGAGACTCTGAGGCTGTCTTCTTTGTATTTAAAGCTATTAATAATAGAGTTATTTTCCCCTTTCCAGGCTATTTGCTGACTAAAATTACCACCAATGTAGCAAATGAGGCAAGCCATTATCATCTTAGATCATTACAAATCAATCAGATTTTGGCATTAGGATGCAGGATTGTGGCCATATGAGTGATATATTAAAGAGTAAAATTGGAATATATACCCATTATCCAAGAGATATTTTATTTATATTTAATAGCATGGATTATGAGATATAATATAACATAACATTTAGTAGATGTTTTTAGACTATCTTTTTAAATTGATCATGCCATATAAAATAAACTTGCTATACTCAAAGTTGGCACAAGCCTGCCTAGATAAAATTTGTTTTATTGTCTGGAGAAAGCAGATGGTGCTAAACTGTAAACTGACTACCTAGAAAATAAGAAAGAAAAAAAGAACAATAAAAGTGTCAACAACTGTCTGGCTGGAAATGGAACTGGCTACAATAAAAATCTTTTTTTTCCCAAAAGTAATTGAACATAGAATGTAGAATAAAGAGTTCTCAATATTGTTTTTATTTTTGCATGAGAAAACCACTGAAGATCTGTGATAATATTTGTCTGATATATGTATGTATATATATATATATATATATATATATATATATATATATATATATATATATATTGCTCGATCATAAAATTCAATAATGCTGGTAAAAATGCGACTCCTGGGCATAATTATAAATAGAATAAATAATACTCAATCACCAGGAGAGTTTTAAGTAAAAATACTTTACTAAAAATACTTTACTTTGTAGGGGGTATTCCCCTCTTCGTTGGGTGGCCCGGAGGTGGGGAGTTTTACAATGCCGTTTGATAAATCTTAATGGATAACCATTATACCGGCATATGCGAAAGAGGTGCTTCCTCTCTTCGTTTTTTCATGTTTTTTCATGTTTTCCCCCCTACAGAAAACATGCATCTCCCTCCCATACATAAGTAACATCTCAGAGGCCACGGCCAGATTGCTGGCCCCCGATGGAATAGAAGTGGCTCACAAACCTAATCAAACCCTACGATCTAAAGTCATGCATCCAAAAGACCCCCTACCTGTCATGGAGAAGTCAGCTGTTGTTTATAAGATCAATTGTAAAAACTACCAGGGCAACTATGTGGGGGAAACAGCCAAACGACTGAAGACTCGCCTCCACGAACACAAATTGGCCATAAAACGAGGCGAGCAGCATTCTCAACTTTGGATGCATATGGCACAGCAGGGCCACCAGTTTGACTTTACTAACACCCATATCGTAGCCAGTGATGCCACAAAGGGAGGCCGGCTACTGAAGGAAGCCTGGTTCTCGAATGACAACTCAATTAATCACCACATCGATCTGCATCCAGCCCAACAAGCGCTGCAAAAATGTGACTCAAACCACCATCCTTTATGCCACAAACAATCTAATCAACACCCACAGCATTGCAGACAAGGAACTATACTTCCTCCCTACCAGGAGCGATCGCATGAGAATGTGAATGACCACCGGCACCCCGTCGATGTCCCTCCATTACGCGACCAACACCGACTCATGCAGCGAGGGAATTCCCCACCGCAGCACGTTGATGCAGGTGCACCGACAGTGAGCCCCCCCGATGGAGAAAGAGAGAGGGGGAGAGCTCACCGAGTGGACGACCCAGGCATCTCCCAACAACATCGAGGGAGGCTCGTATCCCCTTGGGGGGGAGGAGGAAATAGCAATGGAAGGGTTGGAGCACCTGGGGGATTCGATGGTGGAATCCCTGGGCTTGGCATTGTTCATGGTAATGAGGAGGAGATCCCATGCGGGGAGAGGAAAGGAGACATGGGATGATGACCCATTCACTTAGTAAGAGGGAAGGTAATGTGGGTGGAAGGTGTGCTCAAATACCATCGGGCTCTTGCTGGCAGGAACGGAGGGGATTTGGTTTGAATGTTGTTCAGCGAGGGGAGATAGACATGGGGGACATCGTAGTAGAGGATGGAGATGCGAACGTTGGAACATGTCATACCCATATGGAGGTCGCTCGTGCGGATGAGGAGAGGGGGGAGAGCACACAACAGGAAGAGGGTGTTGGCTTGCAACCGGTGGAGCCTCGCCCCTATGGTAGGACACAGGAAAACATTGGATTAAATTCCCCCGATGCGACGGGAACGAACACCACTAGGAGAGAGAGGGATATAGGATTGCCAATGACCTCAGAAATCAGCAACAGAGAAATAGAGAGAAGAACCCGAAGAACTGACGAGAAAGAGCATAACGTCAGAGATTCACTCCTACTATCAGCTGATCAATCGGGGCCAGGGATGCGGTCCAAGAGCCGTGCGCAGACGTCGACCAAACCCATTTAAACCACCTTTGTTAGAACGGCCTTTTAGCCCTGATGATGTTGGGGAGTTTTCCCAATGAAAGCTTGGCAACTTTTTTAGCAAAGTAAAGTATTTTTAGTAAAGTATTTTTACTTAAAACTCTCCTGGTGATTGAGTATTATGTATGTATGTATGTATGTATGTATGTATGTATAAAATATTATTGTATGTCTTTTAAATTTCATATATTTACCCTTATTTATGTAGATATGGTATTGCTCAAGGACCATTTTGATATAAAAGTACATAAACCATAAATAATAAAACCATGTCCCTCTTACCAGTTGCTCTTCCAGGTATGCCTCACATCAGTGTCATGGATGCCATGCTTATCTGCTTGCTCATCTAGGAAATCAAACATATATTTGATAGCCAGTGGGAGAGCACTGCCTCGATGCACAGTACTGAACAAAGTCTCGAACAGGTCATCCACAAACTTTTGAAGTGTACCCTGATGGAAGCAGAGATAAAAGTATGAGGGTATTATACCATAAATCATCATCTGGTGCAGAACAGCACTGCAGTTTGCAAAGCTGCCCCCCCTAATTTATATCCCTGGATATGAGATGTAGCAAAGTTAACGTATTACAGTATGTGATGGGGGGGAAACCTATGTAAGATGAGATAGGAATGAAGACGGTTTAGGGCAGCGGTTCTCAACCTTTGTGTGACGGCGACCCCATCACACGGACATGCCGCGCATGCGCGGTGCCGCCCCCATGCGTGGCGCGCATGCAAGGTGCCGCCTCCTGAGGGGGAAAAATGGCGGATCGCGTTGTTTGGCGACCCCCGTAAAATGGTCATTCGACCCCAAATGGGGTCGCGACCCATAGGTTGAGAATCGCTGGTTTAGGGAAAGCAACAAAAACTTATTTAGATTTTACTATACATTCATTTGTGAGGTGGGTTTGTTTTATAATTATAATAATAATTATTACATATAATAATTCTTATATGTATATTATATAATTATAATTGTTTTATTTAAACATTGTTTTTATTATTAATATGCAATAAGACAAAATCAGCACAACAATATGAGGCTAATGTTTACCACTTTCAGCCGATAAAATGGAGATACAGGATGTAAGACTTGGAATTACCTTTGTAGCTAGCAGCCGCGTCAAGTAGATCTCTGATACCATCTTACTTCCCCGATCACCTTCCTTCTGGTCACCATGGTCATGGTTTTTGACTAAATGCCAGACTTTCACTCCACTCTCTAGGTCAGGAGTAATCATGGGTGCCCTAGAACGAAGACTATCTGGGCTACCTGTGTACCGAAATGTGGAATCTGGGGAGAATGAAAAAGAAGTTGGGAAGGCACAACGGAAGACAAACTTGGTTATATTTTGGGGCTTGTCGTAACTCTTTAACAGAGAATACAACTTCAGTTTATAAGGGAAGAAATTACTATAAAATTCCAATGTTTCTGAAAGCTAATCCTATATTTAAAACATTTTTGGTTGAAATATTTTTCACTGTAGTTGCAGTTACTTACAGGGCATTTTAGATTAGATTAGAGAACCTTTATTGTCATGGCACACATTAAAAATGAAATTTAGTTGCTTCCTCTAAAAGTGTACACATACATACACACATTTAAAACATACTATATACAACATATTGTCATGAAATGCCTTGCCACATGAAAATTTTTTTTAGCTAACTATCAAATACACATTACAACTGTTTGATATTTTTTTTCATTTTCAAGCAAATGTTTCTTTCACCATGAAAAAATTATTCTAATTTCTTAATTTTCTATTCTTCTATTTGGTGACAGTCAAACTAGAGGGATTCTCTTACATTAATAGGAGAATGGGTGAATTGTTACATATTTTTCTCCAAGTTTGAGGACTTGCTAAAGGAAAATATTTAGCCTATAGAAGATATAACTGAGAGGAAATACAACAGCAACCTTTAAATATCTTGTCACATAGAAGGAAAAATAACACAGGGCAGGATCAGAATCAAATGGTTGAAACTATAAGAAGATTCAGCCTAGACGTGAGGAGGAACTTCCTGACTACTTGAACTGTGAAAGAGTCCTCCCCACTTATTTTTGAATGAGGAGAGATAATATCTCTATGTACTTAATATGTTGCTTGTCTGATAATGACAATTTCAGGAGAGATTGCTTCAGATCAGTGATTCTGATACATGCACAGGTGGTTTCAATGGGTTATTCCCATTACAGCCAAGTTTATAATTCAGATAAGAGGTAGAAGCATTTGTGAAGAGTTACGTGTATGCACTGACATTATCATAATGTTTCAGGCTGAGCTCAGTGGTTAAAAAATGGTTCCCTGTATATTTATAAAGATATGCTTCACAAGCTTCCAAAAAAAACTCTATTAAAACTGCTAGCCACTTGACATTGGGTGCAATGATCAGATTAGGCCATTAATTTGAGAGTCATGTAATTAGAATCTTTATGTTTACATCATGCAACTTTCAGTCTTACCATATCTGCTAATTGAGGTCCGTGATATGCTGGCAGAAGCAGGAATATTATAAGAAGAAGTCTGTTTAGGAACAAGGGCAACTACAGAGCGATCAGAGACCTGGTAGAGGGGAAAAAAGACATGTAAGCAGACGGAACATTGCAAGGAAATGCAGTACTAAAACATATTCATACTGTACTGTGAGCTGAAAATGATGAAAGTTATAAATCTCATAATGAAGTGTTGGCAGGAACATATGGAATGCCATGAAGTGTCAGAAGACTAAGCAAAATGAAGGGTATATTTCCCTCCGGGCCTGTTCTGTCCCTGAAGAAAAGAACTAAGAAATGAAAAGACATATTGAAGGCATTCTCTGTCATTTTGATTTAAGATTATGTTTGATGCAATAAAAACAGAGATTCCCAAGAATTGTAGCAACACAATTAAAGCAATAACATACTGGGAATAAAGTAGCTATAATAATGTTATGGATCATAAAAAAATTCCTATTAAATCATTTTTTTAGTTTAGCTCACTTTATGAACTTTAGAAGTTTGATTTATAAAGGAACAAGTAATAAAATCATTTTTCTGGATCTTAAATGACCACTCCATCAACTATGCCCTCCCCTAAAAGGGCGGTTAGAGATAAATTTGGGGAAATCAAATTATAAATCCATATTAATACTGATAATAAGATTTTGTTAAAGCAAAATAGTAATGTTTAATTTTACCCACTCTACAGCTGTAAGACTCAGAAAGCTTTTAACTAATATACATTAACAAACCTTTATTTATCCAAATTATATATTAATAATTTCACAATGTAAATGTGTTGCAGAAAATAAAATGGAAATGTTTGTCTGAAATGTGGTGCTTATTTATTTAATATATTCATTAGGCATCCAAGTAATTAACAAACCACAATTTATCAGCCTGATGTAGTAATTTTACACATACAAATAATTCTGTAGGTTCATTTCTTGAAGTCAGTAACACAGGGGTAAAAAAAAGCTCCCTTTTACACAAAACAGTAGTTTTTGTGAAAAAAAAACAGATGCTATTTTTAATGAGAAATATTTATGACATATATTTGAATGTAATATGAATATCTGCTAGAGATGAAAATTGGTTTTTAGGATTTGAATCTTCAGGTAATTTGTATGGATATGGTATCTTGTTTTTATATTTATACAGTTTATAACTTCGCTGTCTATCAAAATTAGCCTTCAGGTGGTAGAGTTGGAGGCCAAAACATCCAAAGGGTATTGGATTGCTTGTCCTTGGTCTTTCAAAAGATTTGTTCTTATTAGATATCATATTAGTTCCCAACAAAGACCAATCTGTGAGATTTTGGAAGTTTACTGTGGGTTCCTTTGCTATTAGGACTAAAAGTTATTAGCTATTGTTTACAAACAAAAAAGTCACTTCTAAACCTCTTTCTTTGTATGGTTGTGGTTATTGTTAATTATTGTTTTGGAATAATCCAAAAGAAATGAATTCCAAAGACATATTATTTTATCATTTGAAACAGAATTGGATAAATATTTCATGTTTTAAATTTCTAGAATTTAATTACTTATTGTTTGACATCAACATTGGCATTTTTCAAGCTTTCTTTCTAGAATTACTGAACAAATATGTGAAGTTATAAGTGAGAATGGATGTGCTATTAAATGATATAAAAATAATTAGAGAACTTATATGTTGAAATATATGCACATTTTTATTTTAATTAGTTAAACAGAAATAAAACACTCAGGCAGGGTCCTTCTGAGGAAGTTTTGTAAGATTATTGTAATGCCACTTATACTGTTATTATAGACTATCTAAATAAAATATAGTTCTAATCTTGTGGAGTCAGTTACTTGATCTGGTTTATCTCTTGGGCTGTCATAGGGGAAAATAAGAAATCTGTTAGCTGTATAATATGTGCAATTTGGTAGGGTTGCATGTACTTTTCTGGTTTATAATATATTTCTATTGGTTCATAAACTCCCACTACTAAAGTAAAGATTCAAAAGCCCCACAAAATTTGTGAATCTGTTTTGGACATTATTAGATATCATAATATTTTTAGAATAAAGTACAGGTAGCAATGTAACAAAAATGAATGCAACACACTTTTAGTCATAATTATTGTCTTAAACTGTACACTTGTTTCTTCTAAAAAAAAAAATCCCTTGACTCCAAATAAGTTCTAGAGTCAGTATTAATTACAGTAAAACAGATAAGCTTGGCTCAGGATTACATCACTATTTAGTATTTCTGAATTTCTACAGAAGTCTTTTTTTTAAATCACTAATAACTTGCATCTAGTATGTGTTAAAGTGTCACTTTGATAAAATTTCTATTCAAGAAAAACTAGGTGCTCCCTGCAGCTTAAACAACTTTGAGTTGAGCTGATAAATGATTTATTAAGAATAGATTGTGCACATTTAATAGCAAATTATTTCTTTTTCATTCTCATGAAATAGAAACAGCTATTACTGTCAGCTGGGGCAACAGTCTGATTAATGCAAAGGGCAAACCAGGAACACAGGAAAATACTAGCAACTCTGCAATACATGCTTTAGGCAACTAATACTAAAGAGAAGTTAGCATGTCTTAGTCCAGCATTTTGTTTCTTGTAGCAGCCAGTTGCATTCTTCTGGGGTACTTTCAAATGGGAGATGGAGACATATTTATTTTCTGCCATTGTTTGCCTGAAATTTGAGGCATGATGTCCTGGTCTAGAGATAACCTTGCTTTTCCAAGATTAGTCAGTCTTAGGAAGCTGGAATGTACAAATTTATCTAATCCTACTATAAAGCCATCTGAGTTAGTGGCCATCATCACATTTTGCAGTCATAAATTCCAGAATTAATCATGCAGTGTGTGAAGAGGGCTTTTACTTTATCTGTTCTTAATCTCCTATCCATCAGTGTTATTGGATGACCTCTGGTTCTACTGATTTGAGTGGGAGTAAATGTAGCTCTGCCCACTTTCTCCATAGCAGATATATTTTATACTTCTTAGCCCTGTTCCCCTGAAGTCATTTTCCCCAATCCCATTCATTCAAGCCTTTCCTCTTAAGGAAAAGGTTTCCCATAACTTTGGTTGTATCTTCTGAACTTTTTAAACTCTATTAACTAGAACTGAAGATACTATAATAGAGTTGACAGTGACAAAAAGACATTACAATGCTGGCAGTTTTATTTTCAATAATTCCCTAATGTCCCCTAGCATAGAGGCTATCTTCAAAGTCATTATCCACTAGGTTGATATTTCTATTGAATTATCCACTTAAGCTCCAGTATGGTATAATATTTAAGGTGTTTAATTATCCTCAACATGGCAAATCATTGGCTGACTTTGGGCTAGTGATAGTCTCTCTTAGTGCAGTTCTACATCATAAGTAAAATGAAAGGAGATTTCCATGTAAGCTTGGAAAAAAGTAATTTATATATCTTAGGGGGGGGAGGGAGAGATCTAGTTTACAAACAACTCCGATCCCATCAATATATATGTGAAGGTAGGTGTTTTTTCCAGTGAGGATCAAGTTGCCATTTCCACAGTTTAATAAATCAGCCTGGCGTGTTTATAATTACACTTGACTTTTTATCACTCTAGATCATGGTATCAAACTTGATCGTGTTATGTGACATATCGTGATGTATCATGACATTTTTTGCCTTTGTGGAGCTGGGCTTGGCATGGCCTACATGTGATGAATCCGGCCTTCAGGCCACCAGTTTGACACCCCTGCTCTAGATAGTTTGGTATTTAAGCAATTCATTACTTGACCCTATTTCAAGGATACTTATGAACAAGTTAAAAAGCATCAGTTCCAGTGAACATACTAGAGACACTCCACTTTTTCCCTTTAAGAAAATTGTTCATTTATTTCACTCTTTGCTTTTTGTTTTTTAATCAGTTAACAAACAAAATACATACATACATACATACATACATACATACATATATACATTGTGGTTTGTTGTTGTTAATTGCGAAGTCGTGTCCGACCCATCGCGACCCCATGGACAATGTTCCTCCAGGTCTTCCTGTCCTCTACCATCTTCTGGAGTCCATTTAAATTCACACCTACTGCTTCAGTGACTCCATCCAGCCATCTCATTCTCTGTCGTCCCCTTCTTCTATTGCCCCCAATCTTTCCCAGCATTAGGCTCTTCTCCAGTGAATCCTTCCTTCTCATTAGGTGGCCAAAGTACTTGAGTTTCAACTTCAGGATCTGGCCTTCTAAAGAGCAGTCGGGGTTGATCTCTTCTAGGACTGACCGGTTTGAATGCCTTGCAGTCCAAGGGACTATACATACATACAATCATATATACATACATACATATATACAATCAATCAATCAATCAATCAATCCATAAAAGGACAGGCAAGTCATTTTATCCCATGACATCAGTTTAGTTTATTCAGTAACCTTGGAAGAGGAATGTGTCAAAGGATGTTTGAAAGCTCTAGTATACAACATCAAGAGGGCTAAATGCCATATACTGTATGTGCCAGGTGACACTCTCAGAAAACTTTGAAAAGTTGATGAGGCAAGCTTTACATTTTGTGAATTTTCCTTCAGCAAGGCTTATTCTATTAAATGCTTAATTTTCTTTATTCTTTTTACTAATTTTATTAATTTACCTAAGAAGAAACAGTGAGATAACCAGCTCAAGACTTCCTGGGACTCATTTTAAAACTCAATATGACATAAGCTACTTTTCAGGCCTCCTGTTTTTAGTGCAGATTTTCTTAACTAGGTGGTTTTCAGTTTGTTGTAGCATGACAGTTTGTTGTAGTATCTCCAATATGTAGTTCTTTCCTAAACCTTCAAATATTCCCAGTTAGCTTGATGATGAGATCACCTCATTGGGTTAAATCTACTTTCTGAGCTCTGTGTATTCTTTGCTTCACCCTAATCAGTATTGCAATTGAAAATTCATTACATTCTTCTGCCATGCAATTCTTGCCTGCACAATGTGATTTGCAAGTGTAAAAACACTGAATCCTTGGGGAAATGAATTTATCAAACAATGAAGTTCTAGGTTTGCAAAGGTGACTAGGAGTTGAGTAAGAATCTGACCCAATTATTTGTTGACTGAATATAAATATTGGTGTGACATCAAGAATTTCTGGGCCTCTCACATATCCTTGTAATGGGCACAAAGTTGACCAGAGATCAGTCACAAAAGCTAAGAAATAAATAAATAGGAAAGGTGCTTAAATCTTAAGTGGAGGTTAATTCTTATTTAACTTCGTTGGCTATGCTCTTAGTAATAAGGTGACCAACTTTTTTACAATGAAAAGGAGGAAACAAATAAATTGAAGAAAAAAATATCATAAATAAAAGAAACATTTTATTCATTGCAACAATAATACAGACAACTTGCATGTGCAAAGTTTGCCAGCCAGGTGTTTTGGCGTGCTCAGCAGCAATTCCTATTGGCTTTCGAAGACAATAGGGGGACACAGCTATTCAAAAGTTGAAAACAAAATCGATCAAAAAAAAGTGCCGGAACGCCGTTCTGAGTGTTCTATGAGGGGAAAAAAAAGCCCTGCAGATTAGTCTTCAAATATCGAAAAGGAGGACATGTAGGAGGACACTTTTTGAGGGAGGACAGAACTTACAAAAGGAGGACTGTCCTCCCTAAAGGAGGACAGTTGGTCACCTTATTAGTAAAGACAGTTAAAGATTGCACTGGATTTTCACAAGTGCCTTTTTATAACAATAGAGTGATTTGCTTCCTTTATTTATGATAAAATTGGCAATGCATAAGAAAAATTCAGCAATCATTCACTCTATTCAATGATAGCTATTTGACAATGTTGATTTTAAAAATGTATAATTGATTGCCATGCTCTTGCCTAGCTTTTTATATTATTTATTTAAAATCAGCATGACTATCACTAAATTGCTATGTAGACATTCAAAATCCAAGGGACTGGTTTGGACAATGGATAATGTGTATTTTTATTTAAAGAGGGATGTTGGCAACTTACTTGCTAACCTTGAAACACAACTCTCCAGCCATATAATATTTAGATAAATCCCAAGAGAAGAATAATGATGATTTTAGAAGTCCAGTGCACTAGGATAAGTAGAATAAAATAATTTGGGGAATGAATTTGGGGACATATTTAGCTTCACAACTGCTTTAGATTTTTTTTTTAATTCTATTTTTTTCCATAGAAAAAACTTGAGGATTTTGTCATAGATGCAGTCAAGGCTCTTTATAGGAGAGGGAAATTGTGGCGTCCTTCCCCATGTCCATGTACTGAGCATAGATGTCAACAGAAAGAAAGACTATATTCAGGATCTGTGCAAAGGTCCACATCAGAGACAGTTCTCACATATAGAAATCTATACCTCAGAATTTTTAAAATGCATTCATACCTAACTGCAGGCCCATTAGGTAGACCAGACTAGGAAATCAACACCGGAGGAAGGTGAAACTAATTTAATGAGACTGGCTATAACAACAGAATCTTGAAAATCTGATTTTGCCATATGCCCTCCACCATCTTATGATGGAGTGAATTAAAGAGGCCTCTGTTTGAAACATTTCCAAACTTTATATAGTTGCTAGGGGCTTAAAAATAATGTTTATATCCCTTTTGTACAGGCATCAGATCCAGTGTATCTCTATCAAGGTCATTTTTCCTATTCTGTACACTAACTACAATCACTGTGTTTGGTATCAAAAGCAAACAATTTCAGAAGGAGGGTCAAGAGGGCAATTTTACTCTTTGATAATTTTATTAAGATTCTTTCATGCTGGATCATGTAAAGGTCAAGGGGGTTTATGCTGTAGGTCAGTGATGGCGAACCTTTTAAAGACTGAGTGCCCAAAAACTGCCCCTGCCCCTGCTCCCCAACTGCCCCCATCTGCCCCCACCCCCACCCCCCACAGGGCCAGTCACTGCTTCCAAGGCCCACTGATCGCCCGGGCGGTCCAGCAGCACCATGGCAGCCATGCCCTCTGCCCGTGCCCCACAATATTAACTGCGTGAGATGGGGCACGAGGGTGGAGTCTTGTTTCCACTGCCTGGCTGCCATGTCCTTGGCTGCGCTGCTCTGCGCAGGCCACGCTCGGGGGCAACTCTCCTCCAGGGGAGCTGCTGGTGAGGAGGGGACCATGATGAGAAGTGGGGCTGGGGTGATGGCATACATGCCCACAGAGATGGCTCTGAATGCCGCCTCTGGCACGCATGCCATAGGTTCGCTACCACTGCTGTAGGTTAAAGGTGGCCAAATAATATTTCTGATGTTCAAATCCAATTAATTTATCTGACAATTGAGATGTATTTGTCCATGTGAGTATTTATTTTTATAGTAGATAGATATCTTCATTGAATAACAGCTAAATTGAAAACATATAACTGTGCATGGGCTCCATGTCACGTTATATGAGTTTAACTAATATTTCCTAAAGGACCAAATTGTAACTAAATTGTTCCACAATTCTAAACATGTGGTTGAGCAACAATCAATCTCCCACTCTTTTTACCCTTAAAGGAGTTAATAAATAGGGGACTAAATGGATATGAATAAAAGGTTTACTCATAAAAATAACATAATTAGGATTTGTTGTAGTGGGCCATTTCAACTCTTTGGTATATTGTTCATTATGATGATTACAAACGTACACCAGACTTGAGCAAGCAGATAGGACTGGCTGACATTCATACCAAGAATTGGCAACATATCATCACTAGCACCTTTTGATGCCATAGTTATTGCTTTTTTAATCAGAAAGTCAGAATTTGTATGCTCTATTGCATATTGAACTACATCCAAAATGAAAAGTGCAAGTCGCAAATCTTCACAATATGGAAACAGTGTCATATAAAACTAGCATCTCTTCCTAAAAGCAGCTTTCTACGCAGCTTTGTGGAAAATCATTTACACATGCATCTTGATAGCCTGAGATATTTATTTTGACTGTTTCTTACGGAGCTACCCACCTCAGGGAAGAGAATATTCCATAAAGCAGTCACTAGGGCAAGGAAGGCTTGCCAAGTGTAGTTCCCTAGCAGATGAGACCCACAATATATCTTCTCTTCCAGATGTGAATGGACAGACAGATCTAACTGGGGACAGACAGTCCCTCAGATAACCTATTCCCATGCCATGAAGGGCTTTAAATGTTAAAACCAGCACCTTGAATTCAATCCTGAAATAAATGGAACCAATTTAGCTCTGGAGCAGAGGTGTAACATGTGCTCTTTTAGAAGCATGCATAATTGGCTATGCTGCTGCATGTAGCTGAACTTCTTGATACTTTTCAAGAGCAGAGTGCATTACAATAGTCCATGTGGAAGATGACATGTGTGGCTGTGACCAAAGTCACTGATTTAGGCACAAGCCCAACTGTACACTACCCAAATCTGTTCAAGGGCTCTCCTAGATATGAGTGCACTGGTCATGAGCAGGAGTCATGAGTACAGGAGGACTCCCAGATTGCACATTGAGTCTGTTTGGGGCAGTGCAGCTCTACTCATCATCAAAGATGGTATAGTCCTTGAACTGGTGTCCTGAACTAAAGCCACTCAGGTTCTTGCCAGGGTTCTCCAGAAACTTGCTATTTCCCCATCCAGAACCTCGTAGCCTCCAGGGATCAGGTAAGACATTTGCAGTATTGCTTAATTTTATCATGGGCAGAGAAAAAGCATACTGATGACCTAATCAGTATACTGATCACCCCATCACAATGGATGAGCTCACCCAGTGGACTCATGTAGATGTTGAATAAAGAGTACTGAATCCTGTGCATGACTCTAAAGAGCAGGTGGCAGAATTCTCATCCTAAGGACTTCCTTAGGCCTAGCATGCTCAGTCCAATCCTAGATTATTGGGCAAGATTCCTCCCCAGACCTCTCTATCAGATCTGCAACAAGGCTGGTGTCCAGTTCTGAGGAAATCTGAGCAACTGTGTACAATATATACTAAACAGATGTCTCCACATGCCCAGGCAAGAAGTTCTCTGAGCTGAAAGTCAGTGTCTCTGAAGGTCCACTGACAGGGTACTGAGGTTGAGATCAGAAAAATGCAATGCAAAGCTGGTATAAAACAACAGTATTGTGTTATATGCTTGCTGCCTTTTTAGCTCATCTGATATACTGTCTGTCTCAGGAACACAGCTGGCATTTTTAATTTATTCAATTTACAGGTCTGCTTGTTTCTGTGAGATGTGCATCAGAACGGTTTTCCTTTTTAATATGTGAACATGCTGAACCATTCTAATTTATCATCTAAATATGCCTCTCATTACCTGTCTTATTAGAAAAGATGCTGAGGAATTAGAATTCAGGTATTTTTCCACCCGTTCTCACTTTCGGTCCACTCAACTAATTTCTGTGACCTGCATGCTAGGTTTTGTTTGCCTACCTGATAATGAATCAATGTGTTTAACCGCTTCCAGTCACCCTCAATCTTAGTTGTGATGTCTTCATCCTGAAGTACCACACGTGCTATTCGACCTTGGCGCCATTCTATAAAAAGAGTAACAACAGACTCATGAATCAGATTAGAAGCCTAGAAATCTCATTGTGGGAATGGCAATCTCAAAATGCTGATCTTTCATAAATAAATAATTTAATTAAATAAACAAATAAATAAATAAGAAATGACATTCAACAGCTGGTTACTCCTTCACAAATTCAGTTGATATTTGCTGGTTTCAACAGATGAGATTGGGGAGACTGACCTCAATATTTCAGAGCGCATTGTAGACAATCTGTTGTATTCTCCCATCTATACAGAAAACCTGGGAGATCTTAGAGAATTAGGCAGCATCAGAATAGTCAAATGTATATACATTAATTACATTGCTTAGAGCTGACTCTATTCTTGTTATACATTAAACACACAATCAGAATCATGTATTGTGGGCATGGGAGGGAAAAAACGTACCTCTGAACTTTTAAATTACAAAATAAACAAACTTTACAATTTACTCTTTCTTTCTCCAGTAAAAACCCTCCTTTATTTAGTCTTATTTTTGTTTATATATATAAAATGAGATAGATCAGATGACAAAGCTGGGGATTAGCTCTTTCCAATTGCATCCAATCCACACTAAGACCTTATATGTTTAATTTAGAACAATATGAGGATTGGCTGTACCGTATGCAATTATCCTCTTATGTAGCTTAAATCTTAATCAATCCAGAATTGATATATTTTGTAAACAATGAAGGAAGAAGAAACGAAGACCAGCTTCACAATAAACACTATGTATATCTACACTGGACTTTCCTTCAGCAATCTTACCCCAATAAGGACACTACATTTGTGGTCAACTGTCAACTCTATAATGAGCCTGGCTGCAGCCATCTTTCTCTTCATTGTAGGTTGCCAAATAGAACGGAGGGAGGAGGGCTTGCCCAGGTGGTTCACTAGTCAAAATAATCTTCTGTCCTGTGGGAACCAAAGTCATCTACTGCTCCCGTGATCAGGGACTGAGTGTTGTTTAAGAAAGCCCACCAAATGAATGTATTGGGAATGTAGTGATGGCATAGTTTTGTGGGTGGGACATTATACTTTGTAATTGGAATTTTTTTAGTGTGAATTTCAGACTTGGTTTCACTTTTGATTGTGCAATACTTTGTAACTAATAAACATGTTCTTTGAGGAATTTCCAAGCCTCAGAGTCCTGCTTTATTTGTCTCTGTCTGTTGGAACCATGACATTAACATAAAGTATTTTTTCTATATATAGAATATGAATAAATACAATAATACTATAACCAAATGCATAGTCTAAATTGGGACAATTTCTGTATGATTTTCTATGGGTTCCTTACATATTGTGACCCCTTCACAGAGAAAACCCAAACTCATATATTTCTCTCTGCTATCACAAAACATAGAGATTCCTACCCAAGTCCATGTCAACAGCTCGAGGCCTTTGGGAATATGGGACATTTTTATATACTGCATCAAGAATCTTCTCCTTGACTTGTGTGATAGTATCACAGTTAAGCACCTTCACAGGAATCTCAGGACTATTTTCATTATCCGGGTTCACACAGTTCAAGATCTAAAAAAACCAAAATAATTAAAATGGAAGCTAAACTTGGAAAAGCTAGGGAGAAACCATCACCTTTTAGTCATAGTAACGATTAGAAATAAGCTGGAAATATTTTACTGTATATAGCTCCAACAAGAAAATCTAAGGTGTTACATTAGTGTTATTTAGATTGGGAAAATAATTGCTTATGTCAGATTAAAAAAAGCCTTCATGTGGAAATAGGATATAAACTTTATTGAATTTGCTAAACATATACTCAAATAGATTGCCATTCGATTGCCTGTATATTTTCCAAATGAGAAAAAATTGCTTATATGAAGTGAAATATACAATAGTTTGGGAAGTTAATTTCATCTTTTCAGTTATACATAGAAACATCAAATAAAATTATGAAACAGAAATAAAACCCTTTGACAATTAGGAATGTTGGGTTTCACTATTGAAATTAAGGGGCTTCAAACTATAAGGCTTAGTTTTATTTATGGATACCCTCAGTAAAACATTCCCTTCCTCACTTGTTCTAAGAAAGCCTCTCTGTTTTGATATTTTAAATTGCCATATATGTTTCCTCATGAGAAAACTCTTCTATCAGAACATTTTGGAGGTATCATGGAGATTCTTGGTTTAATACATATCTGGATCCAGGGAATCAATCCTTGCTATATTTCACATGATGATCAGCGGGTGGTGCTGGCATAAACTGTTGACAGAAGACACCCACTCACCAGTGTTTTGTACTCAATCTGCTGCCTGATCAGCTTGTCCTCACTGAGGGAATAGCGTGCTTCTCCTGTAATAGCATCAATTGGGCCTTTCTCCATCTGTTGCTTGATGGCACAGTACAACATGAAGAGTGGTTCTCCAGCACATTCCTGATGGTAAGGAAAAGAATTTACACAGCAATAAAGAAATAATTTATTTAAGAAAAGTTAAATGTTAACACTGTTATACTTTAGTTTCTTTAATCAAGCCATTCAGACAATTCATTTTTTGTTACTCCAAATATAATATGGTTTAGAAATAATATGCTATTCCTTTTTGGTAGCATTTGTTGAAGGAAGATGGATTTTTAAAATCTTATCATTTATTTTGGAAGTACATAATCCTATGAGGTAGTCTTATGTAGCTAAGCCCATCTTATTGTTCAGTTCAGTGAGCAAGCATATGAGGAACAGCAAGTCAAATACACTGCTAATAGTATACTCAATGCATTAATTAGTATCAGTAGTAAGCCGACTAAAAGGCAGCTTTAAAAGTGAACTATGTATTGTTTTATGTATTATTTCCAGCCTCTGGACTAGTTTTCTATCATCCCCTTGAAAAATTAAATCTAATCAACAAAACACAAAAAATAAGGAACAAAGAAAATGGAACCAAGGGTAAAGCCACTGGTTCCTTACCTTTAGGAACTTGTGGAGTAAGAAAGCAAACCAATTAGTCAGCATCTTCTCAGCTACAGACTCTGTCCTGAGAAGAAATTAGAAATTGTTTTGTATATATCTGAAATAACAGGTAGTTATTCTCTGCTCAGTAGCCTGCTCACTGCTCATTTTGGGAGAGAGTTACTAAAAGATGAACATGATTATAAAGTACAGATCCTGACAGAATTAGTTTAACTTCTTCCTGCCATTTTTGCTCTCTCAGAATTTCTTTTCCTTTTCCTTTTGAAAGCTTGTAATACAATCTTCGACTTACAACTACAATTGAGTCCAAAATTTCTGTTGCTAAATGAGACAATTAAGTGAATTTTGTCCCATTTTATTACTTTGTTAAGTGAATCACTGCAGTTGTTAGGTTAATAATATGGTTATTAAGTGAATCTGGCTCCCCCATTGACTTTGCTTGTTAGTAGGTTGGAAAACACATGACCCAGGGACATTGCAATGGTCATAAATATGAGTCACTTGCCAAGCATCTGAATTTTGGTCATGTGACCATGGGAATGCAGCAATGGTCGTAAGTGTGAAAAACTATCACAAGACACTGATGTTGCAGCTTTTTCAGTGACTTATGACAGTTACGATAGATTCTACTTTTTTGAGCAGTCACTAAATGAACTGTTGTAAGTCAAGGTGTACCTGTACTTTGATTAGTAATATTTGACTACCAAGTATCCTTTCTACAATATATATGTACAATGGGTCACTGGAGACCAACATAATAAGATTTCAAATGAGAATGCACCTTCTTTTAGGTTTCAGAATATCTCCTTTTAATAAAACTTTTTAATGAAACAATCAAGAAAGAAAACAGCCAAGGGTTAACTAACAGAAAGTCTCTGGTGCCTCCCTATATCAGACACACACAGTTCATATAAACATAAATATACTCCACATACTCTAATATGACAGCAAAAATAAATGAGCTATCATAAAAAATATTTCTTTTATAGCCACATACGCATCAAGCCACAAACAAAGGCGTGTTATAATATTTAAATCTGTTCCATTTTACTACTGGACATTTTTGCTTCCAAATAATCCCATTTTTGCATTATGGGATGCCTGGAATGATGATGATGATTCAGAAGAATTCCAGGTTAAGAATAGTTTTAGTATCCAGACACCAAATCCAAACTTGAAAAAACATATGGGTCTCTATTGAAACAGATAAGGAAGCCAATGCATAAGTGACCCTTGTAAGCTCCAGTGCAGCTGAATATTCACGGATCTCTAATTTGTGATACTATTTTAAAGCAGCAAATGAAAGTTATGATTAGAAATCTTGACTGAGTCAGCAAGTCAATTAAGCGTATATCACAATTCCTATAAAATTTTGGTTGCTCTTTCATGGGGAGATTATGTATAACACAACTTTTATATAACACCTGGAGAGTGATTGGAGTACCTTAACTAAATGTACAGAAGTAAACTTATTGAGAATTAAGAATGGCTAATAAGTCAGGTGTAAGGCTATTATTAGCCCATAAAGTGGGATTTGCTTGAAGTGAAATGTGTAGAATTGTGTTTATGCAAACCCTTTGAAAAAAAGTACTTTACAAGTCATGAGTGCAGAAATGAAGCAGCTCTCTGAATTGTAGAAGCAGATTCATCTCCTTCCTGCCTTGTGCAGCTGTCTGGAAAAAGATGTGTATGTGTGCAGACAGCTGAGAATAGCTTCCAAAACAGCCGCACAAACCTGGAAAACAGCTCATCTGCATTAATAATTTGAAGTCCTTTGTTTATGCCATAGACAAGATTTGTACAAATGCTAATAAAATTGCTCTACAGTTTCTACTGAAGCCGGTGGACCAACTTAGCGGTAACAATCTTGTGCATGTGCACTCACTGGAATAATTTGTTTGCTCCATTCCATATTTAAGTAACTGAGGAAGCACTGCAGATTTAATTACAATTACCTTTACTGTAGCTGACACTAGACAATGAATTCTGTGATGCCTGTTATGGGAACAACATGGCATGTTTGACATTCTCATGCCAAAATTTAGAAATAGAAAAAATGCATGACAAGAATGATTTGGACTTGGAACTTCTTATATCTCTACATTGCTTTTGATATGTGCTTCTAGGTACTGTACAGAATTAAAACAAAACTAGATAAAGGAATACCATATAAAACATTGTCTATGGAGATTCTCAGTCATCCAGGTCATGGTTATCCCAAAGGTGCTTTTTCAGGAGGCAACCGAATGTTCTTGTTTTTCTTTGAAGACATTTTGCTTCTCATCCAATAAATTTAGACTTTGGGATGAACTCCCTTTGAATGGTATGGGAGTATGAACAGATTTCCAGAAAACATTGCAGAGAACAGGAACAGGGCAGAAAATATCCTGCAGCCAGAAGGTTCTATACACATTTGCACTACTCAGGTGATCTTGAGGACACAGAAAACCTCCAAATGGCCCCACAACTCTCTAAAACAGGGGTGTCAAACTGCTGGTCCATGGGCCATTTTCATCATACCGGAGCCGCGCCCACCCCATTGCCTGCAATGGCGAAAAAGCTCCGATACGTTGCGCGATGTCATGTCATGTAGCGAGTTTGACATGTTTGCTCTAAAAGAATGCAAATGACCAGCTGTCTTCGAGGAATATAAATCCTTCCATTCCCCACCATCTGGTCAGAGCTGAAGAAGCTTCTTGGATGAGAAGCAAAATGTCTTCAAAGAAAAACCAGAAAGTCCAGTTGCCTCCTGAAAAAGCCCTTTTGAGATATGTATAAAACATTACCAAATTAATAAATTACTTAGCAGCAATAGATTGCTACACTATCATGACCTGTCAGTCTGATGATCATGTTAAGATCCCCCCCATCTTCCCCCCAAAAAACCTAGCATTGAAATAAGATGCATTCAGTATATATTTGTTTATCAGAGTCAATTAGTGCCTACTATTCCAGGGATTAGTCCTGAATTCTAATCTTAGTCAGCTGTCAAATTCTCTTACAGAACAGTTTTTAGCAAAGGTTACAGTCTTGACACCTCACAAGTGTTGCTGTAATGTTAAAATGCCTCTGTGAGTTCCTTAAAGGAAGCATAAGAAAATATATAATAATGGTAATTAGTAGCACATGTCTATTTCCTGCTTTCAAGTATTTCAGAAAAATGTGATTGCCATGTGATCTGCAGAAGAAAGAAAAAAAAAGAAAAACTATAAAAAGAAAGGTAATTGCATAGTTTAAAGGGCTTGGGGAGTGTCCCTCTTTGATTTTCTTTATCAATGGGGTAGTAAAGCTAATTTCAACGTGTTTGTTCTTTATGCTGCCTCACCCTTTTCACATTTGCAAGAAAAAAAATCAATGCAGATTGCTCATAACTAAATGTAACAATGCCCAGTTGACAGCCAATCAGCAGCCCCTCCAAAGGGGATGTTTGGTAGAGCTATAACTCCTTACATTTGATGGAAATTATACCCTGTGTCTCAGTAAATCACTGGAATTTGTAGCTGGTGACAATCAGGGACAACAGAGTGACAATAGCTGGGGAAATTGCAGCTTTTTTAAAAGAGCCACACCCAGGACTAGTTCCCCATGCTGCATCCAATATTATCTCTAATTTAAATATAAAGGATCTTAATGTTGATTCTTAATAGTAGCTTTACAGGATGTTAAATTCTTCTTTAAAAGGTATTATTGCTTTGGTTTTACAAAGTGGAAGATTTTAAATGAGATATCAGAGAAAAAAGTAGAGCTCTAGTACAGGATAAGTTAGGATGATGCCAGCAAACCTGGCAGGAGATGGATGAACTTGTGAGGTATCTCTATTATTAATACCCCTTCTGTTATTTTCTTGTTTGTTTTGTTTTTATAATTTTTAAATGTTTTTATAATTAATTGATATGTGATGTTATGTATTTATGCATTTATTGTTTTAGCTTGTTGCATGCCACTCAGAATCACTTTTGGTGAGGTGGGTGGCTATATAAATTAGATAAATAAAATTATCTATCAATAAAAAGTGCTTCATATTAATTCATAAGTCACTATGCCCTCTTGTTACTTTCATAGATTCTCTTCCACTGCATATTTGTCCCTAATCATATCCAAATGTCTTCACCACCATGTGACCAGATTGCTCAGAAACATTCATCCTTCCTTATTTTGAACTGATACACAGGGATATAGGATTTGGAATTAAAATAAGACATAGTGTGATTCGGTCAGAACCCTTTTTAGCAGATTAAATGGTCATCAGTCCTTGAGAAAACCATTCTCTTTCTATGTGTATGTAGCCATATACACTTGGGCTTTACAACCATTTCACAGATTATACCACTTTTAGGACATGACAATATTTGAGTACCACCAGTGCTCACAAGGTGTCAAAAATTTGATGACTAAAATAAAGGGGGCTTTACTGGTTAGAGCAGGGGTTCTCAACCTTGGCAACTTTAAGAGGTGTGGACTTCAACTCCCAGAATTCCTCAGCCAGCTGGCTGAGGAATTCTGGGAGTTGAAGTCCACACCTCTTAAAGTTGCCAAGGTTGAGAACCCCTGGGTTAGAGTCATTTGTTGTTATAGAAATGGCTAGTTTATAATATGGAAAAGTAAAAAGTTGAGGTTCAGTGTTAATGCTTCCTTCCTACTGTAACAGTGGAACTCAGAAGTCAATGCCTTTTCTTTTCTTTTTCCCTTCTCCCCCTCAATTTTCCCCTTTTCTCTCACCCTTTGCTTGCAGCCCCCCCTCACTCTTTGCTAGCAAAAGCCTCTCACTTGCTCTCATTCACTCACACGTTGCTCACAAAAGCTTCTATCTCTTATTCACTCACACATTGCTTGCACAAGCTTCTCTCTCCTTCTCATTCACTTACATATTACTTGCACAAGTTTCTCTCTTGCTCTCATCCGCTGCTCACAAAAGCTTCTCTCTCTCTCTTTCACTCACACATTGCTTGCGCAAGCTTCTCTCTTGCTCTCTTTCATTCACAAGTTGCTTGCAAAAGCTTCTCTCGCTCTTCACTCACATGTTGCTTGCACAAGCTTTTCTCTTGCTCTTTCACACACTTGCAA